GAAGTTGCGAGTACTAACAAACTGCGACCATTTGCACTCAGACGCTTCGCTGAAGGGGTTTTAGGGTTTGGCGCGCTGTGATTGGTCCAGGAATTTAGAGGACTTGGCAGAAGTTCAAAATAGTTTAGCGTCAGCCACAAAAACGCCCCAGCGAAGCGTCTGAGCCTGCTGAGATAAGAGCTTCGATCTATTTTGGGAGAGCCACAAAACGCATGACCCTTAGCTGTTGGGACGTGGCACAGACTTGCAGTATGTTTGTCAACGCCCAATTTAAGGAATATTGATTCTGATATCAACAACCCGTTTAGAATTCTAGACAAAAGCGCCCCACAGCTTTGGAAGGAGATCCCAATTTGCGTTGTTTAACGGGATTGTGGTCGGACTGATTTGCCACATTTGCTCATGCATTTGAAATGCTTGGGAGACCCCAAAGCAAAAGGAAAGGGGGCATGCTACCTCCAGAGTACCAGCAATACCCAAAGCGAAGCCGTGTAGCGGTGAGCTAGAAGCAGAGTCGTCCGCGACTACAGCTATAGTCTTCCAGCTTTGCGGGGGCTAGTTGGGTACACTATTACTAGTGTTGCCGGCCAGAAAAAAATTGCTTGCATCTAGCGAAACACTAACTATAATCTAAATAGCTTCGGATGCGGAGGACCTAAAAAAGAGCAGGCAAGGGGAACAAAGAGAGACCCTTATTAGGGATCTAAGTAGAGGGGAAGAACACGATATGATCGAGCATGTTGTAGGGGCGCCTAATAAATCTGCTATCGACATGGAAACTTGTAGCATTTCTTCTATGCATCACATAATAGCTGTTCTTTTGGGGTATCTTCGCCTCGGGCAGCTGCTCGTCACAAACTTAAGCAGCTTTATTGCTCCGCTGATGGTTCATCGCCGGAAGGCCTATGCGACGTTGGCGGCATGCTGCTATGGTGCAGCGCTGATTGAGAATTGCAGCACTTGGTTGCTCCGAACAAAAGAAAAAAATCCGCAGGTGATGAGCAGTGAGCTGCAGAAGTTTCGTGTCTGGTTTCCCGCAGTCCTTTTATGACAGCAGACCTGGAAGTATGTCGGTGAACAGGTGTGATCTTGCGGAGTTGGTTGTTATGCTTCGAGCATGGTGAAAACATGATGGAGTATATGCAGGGCCTCAGGATCCGCCTTTTCCTCCCTGAGTGAGCCGGCGTAATCTCGTGCGAAGCGGAGAAGTTGATGAAGCAGCATCGGAAGTTGTGGGTGATGTCGCCTCAGAGTCTGTCGGGCTGGACGACGTTGATGAGCTTCGGCGCCGAGTCTCAGCGAGCACGTCGTCCAAGGTGACGCTATACTGAGAATCAAAGTGCACGTTCGTGTCGATGTGCTCGATAAACTTGGAGGTAGTCATGGCGAAAGTGTCTCAGAACTGCTCTACACCCGGGCGAGTGAGGGTTGGGATCATGCGGCGGTATGTGACACAGTCAAACAGAGGCAACAAAATGCAGGAGGCAGTAGGACAACAGCTGCTCCCGTAGCAAAGACTAGAACCTCAGAAGCTGAAGACGGATACGGGGTCTGAGAATACGACACGGGAAGAAGGGAAGGACGGGAGAAGCATTTAATACGATCTTGCACCATCCGGAACTATTCTCAAGGGGGCAAAGAGAGTTGTAGATTGACAAGACCCTGCGCCGAAGGACCGAAAGTCTGGACTGCTAAGCTTAAATGAGTTTTCGTAACCCGCGTGGCCGTGAACCCTCGTCGAGCGCGTAAAGTCGGAGGCAAGTTTGAATAGTAACATGCTGAAGAGGGGGACGGCGAGAGAAGCCAGGGCACGTCTGCACGATGACAATTGTGGTTGCGCGTGTCAGGGTCTTCTGATCGACGGCGCACACGAAGCCCATGCAATAGTTCTATCAGGAGGCGAGACTGAAAGAAAAAATGGTGAGAGGGCAAGGCCCCGATGTGCTCGAAACTGGTCTATCGATAGCCACCCTCAACGGCTCGAGGGCTAGACTTTCCCGGCTGTATTGGCCGTCCTCGATTCGGCCTGATCCGACCATGCGAGAGACGCTCAGAACGGCTCTTGGTTCAGGGAAATCTGGCCCTCCCCCGAACTGCCTCTCTTCTGATCGGCGGGTTGATCGTCGCTCTCCCTCCACGCGTTCCAGCGTCGATCGCGTGCTCGTCTCCACCTGAACTCGCGGCGGTCTCGTGGATGGTTGGACCTCTTCTCCTTTGCGAAGCGTTGGTCGTGACTGGCTGGCGGCGAGTCACAAGGACCTTTGCGCATAACCCAATAGAGCTTGCAGCAGCACTTCGTTGCGTGGCGAGCTGCAGGAACCGAGGTCGGCTGCTCTTTAGATTCTCCGCCCGTCCAACTGAGATTCGTTCTCAGATCTGTCGTTCGTTGGCTTTGACAAAGATGCGTCGACATTTACGCTGCTGGCGAGTCTTTATAGAGGGCGGCAGCAAGCCGACTTTGAGCGCCCTACAGCTGCAATATTGCGCCTGGTCAGCAGCAAGCAAGCGCGCAAATCTACAGGCTCTCGTTCCTTTTCGTTTGCTGATCGTTTGACTTGGACAGTTGAAGTGTCCAATTCATGCTCAGCGAGGATGAGTCCATCAGACACCGAGTTCGTGCCTCTGTTATCTTATTGTTCTGCCGATAAAGTCGCAGAGCTATTTGAGCATGCCAGATTCCCCCAAGCCTAAATCTTCATTCGCGTGCTAAGAGGGTCTTGTGAAGCATGGGACGCAAAAAGTTCTTCTGCTGCTTTGATACAGTTTGAACTATAGCATCTTTTCTAGAAGCGAGAAAACGACTTGATAGAACGGGTTTTTAAGATTACTTTTCCCTGGAACAATAGGGCCTGACGATTCGATGGTCCTAATACGTTCATTATTGGGTTTGATCACGGAGATCCTCGCTGTTGTGCGTGCAGACCTGTTCAAGCGCCACAAGATCTAATCGGAACACGTGGATTCCAGCTTTTAGCACATCCAAGGTGTATGGCATCTCTGTCTTTTTATGACGCGAAAAGACTTATATCTACACGACCACGCCACCTTCCACTGTCTTGAGCATGTCTAGACATTACCAACGACCGCTGCTTTGGGATGAGTCACGGTGAAGCTATCGGACTCATCCGCCCCATCGGAAAAAACACAGCGGACGAATGTCCGAACTGCCGTATTGAACAGCCTGAGCAACAAAATTAAATAAAAAAAAAAAAGGCTTCGCATCCCGCAAACGTTTCTCTATGCCAAACGCTTTCGAGATCTTGCGTTTCCTGTCTTGTGTTCTAGAGAAGAGACATGTGTAACGTAGGTATCGCTGATGCTTCTCGTCGACTTGAGACAATAGTAGTATCAGCATGCATCAAATCGATCCATGTCCTCCACGACGCTGCCTTGAATTGTCGTCGTACTAATCCGATCATCCAAATTATAGACCAGCCAAGGTCGAGAGGTCCCTGGAGAGCTTTACAAACATCATATGAACAGCATAATTTGCAGTATTGGGATTTTATCCCGGAAGATTCAATTAAGTGTCTAAGATTCTATCGAAGGAAATCTTGATTGCGTAAGGTGGTTGGTGACCGCACAGAAGGCTCAAAGGAGTCCTTTCTTATCAAGATGCACGGGTCGTGTTTGGACGCCAAAGTCAATTGTCACTCATTTTTCCATGATGGCGGCGTTTGTGTAGAGTCGAATCCTACATCTGCTGGAAATTGGGCATGAAATGGATTCAACTTGCATGGGAACTAAAGCAGAAATGGTCCATCGTAATAAATTAATTGATGAATAAGCCAGATATTTCCAGAAAAGCACTCTGGTTGGATAATTCACGGTAATTATGCATGGAGTCACGGAAAATGTTGCCGAAAGAGATATCCATCATCGACTTCTCATGTATGTGCTCCAACGAGGGCATCTAAAAGCAAAGAGCGTCACCGAAATTGAAATGAAACACGAAATTTCATCAGCGATTTAAAGAATGTGTTTGCAATCAGACTGAGCCGACTTTAGCTGGAGCGATGGATTTACAGAGGGAAGCTCTTGCTGCGGCTGAACGAGTAGACAATGTCCAAATGACTACACATATAGTCGTGGCTATTCTGAGTGTAATAGTCCTTCTCTGCTTACTGTTGCAATCAAATCCGAAACTAGTCTATCCCAATACAAATTGTGATCTAATCATAGGGTTTTATGATCCAACAGAACGTCTCGCAGTCTCTTTATACCGATCTCGATCTGTTTCTCCGTATGAAACGCCCAACAAAGCCTGATGGAGTCGGCAAACGTATTCAGCGAACGCTTTGCACTCCCGTCGTCGCCCTTGATCAAGAACATCTTCCCGTAGGCGAACTTCAGCTTGTACCGTTCAATCGCCGCTTTCGCCAACACAGCTGCCGAAGCATATCCCTCAGGGATTGTGAGTGAGAGGAAGAAGCCGCCAGCCAAAATCACCTCGTCCTGAGAATCAACCAGATTGGCTCTGAAAGGCCTCCCAGTGGTGATCTGGACACCAAGTGGCTCAAGATACTTCTGAATCGCGTCTACCATCCCGTAGTACCGAGCTGCATACGTAGGGATGAGTTTCTGGGAGATATGCTTTTCCAGCGCTCCCGAGCTAAACAAGTCCTCGATAAACGTGGACGATAGATGAGCAGGATTGCCACCAGACCAGGTTGCGCCCGTGTTTGCTAGCCAAGTTGCAAACGCAGGCGTCGCTTCTGCCCAAGACACCCTCACTCCAGGAGCTACGATTTTCGAGAACGAGCCATTGCTGACAGTGTTGCCCCACTTGCTGTCCGGGTCAATTTCTCTGTTGACATCTACTAACCGCGGGGGCAGTCGCACTTTTGTATGACATGGATACAAAGATTTCTTCTCCGGCCACCAAAGAAAGTCATAAACGTCGTCCGAGACTACAAGCGCATCGTACTCTATGGCTAGATTGACGAGCTCGTATCTCCGCCTGAGTGACATGGTTTTACCGCTTGGGTTTGAGAACGTAGGCACGCAATAGATGACGTGTTTGTAGATTTTCTCGTAGCCAGCGACAGCCGTCTTGACTCTTGGCGCATCATGGCCATTCAGCTGTGCTCGTTCTCCTTCAACCCGGGCCAGCGAGTCTCTCAGAAAGCTGATATCGATGCCTTCTTCGTCTTCTGGTACACCGCGAAGTTTGCCCACGAATCCGCAGTCTTCAAATATCGGGCAAGCCAGGAAATAGGTAGGCTCGACCATCCAAATGTTGCGTGTGTAGCTTGAATCAGTGAATCTCAGCAAGATATTCGCCAAATTTTGAGATGCGCCACCTGCAATACAGACTCGATCCTCGTCTACTCCTGATTTGTCGTGGTAGTATGTCTTGCCAAGCCACTGTGCCACATGGCTACGGAGCGGCAGGTACCCACGGTTTGGCCCATAGATTAAGGATTGACTGGCAATTTCAGGATTCGTCAACACTGACTCTGATGCGTTGTTCAGCTCTGCGGCAGGGAACAGTTGCGGTGATGGCCATCCGAGTTGGAGATTAATTTCATCCCCCTGGGGAAGCAAAGAAGTCATTATTGCCTTGGAAAAGGTGATTGAATACCAAAAAAGCCCGTGAAGCCCCTCATTACGCCGTTACTGGTCCTCGAGGAAAGGAGGGAATAAAAACAAATGCGAAAGAACATGATGGCGGACACCAGACTCCGAAAGTGATTACCCCTGTTGCTTGGTCCAAACTAGCTACATGACATTCGCAGTTACGCACTCGGCGCCGCTCCGACGACAATTTTCGCACTAAACGTATGCAAAATGTGAAATGAGCCTTGAATAAAGGTCTAAGCTTTAAAGTAGTGTTAAAGGGTAAGTTTCAATCATTCGTTGCTAGAAAAGCTGAGTCACTGATATCTGACCCCAAAAATATACTACATCCGCCAATCGTCAATTCCAAACAATTATGACACACACGCCCCCCTTCAAAGTAAAGAAGCCCCCCATTATACCAAGAACTCAATATAGAATTCAGCGGATCGAACATGTCAAGGCTAACGGGCATTTATCTAGCTTCGTCGACCCTCACTACTAAAATCCCAGGCTTTCGTTGACGGAAAATGGATTGGAGCCAAGTCCGGAAAGCTCTTCAACATATTAGGTTCATCACTTGATCCCTAGGATGGCCTAAATACATACTGATTACCAAAAGATCCGGGTACCGGAGAAAATTGGGCATCCGTTCCCGATAATGGAGCTGCTGATGTCGACGCGGCTGTTCAGGCAGCGCAAAACGCCTTTGTCACATATAGCAAGACCAGTCCTAGAGAACGTTTCCATTACTTGCTGAGATGGAGTAGGCTGATTGAAGAGAACAAAGAGGATCTTGCAACCATTGTAACTTACGAAACTGGAAAGCCAATCTCAGAATCTCTTGCCGAAATTGACTATGCCGTAGCTTCGTCCTACTGGTTCGCGGCCGAGGCCGACAGAGTTCAGGGAGCTTGCTTCAATTCTTCAGTGAGAGGGAAAAAGGTTATAACAGTCAAACAACCAATTGGGGTAGTTGCCGCTCTCGTTCCATGGAATTTTCCTGTCTCGTAAGTCTTTTGGCCGATTACAGATGTGCAGAAACTAAGATCAGGAGAATGACAGCACGCAAGGCTGGAGCTGCATTAGCTGCAGGCTGTACAATGGTTTTAAAGCCATCGCCGGAGGCACCAATGGCGATTCTTGCTCTCATGGTGCTTGCGAACGAAGCAGGGTTGCCGAATGGTGTCATTAACGTGCTCACAACCAGTCTGATCAATACCCCTGCACTTAGCGAAGCTCTTTGCAGACACTCTGGAATCAAAAAGGTGACATTCACGGGTTCGACACGCGTCGGAAAGTTGATCTCAAAGATGTGTTCGTCGAGTCTCAAAAAGGTGACCCTGGAACTGGGCGGAAACTGTCCTTTTCTTGTTTTCGACGACGCAAATTTGGACCAAGCGGCTGATGCACTGATGGCGCTCAAATGGAGAAATGCCGGCCAAGCCTGTGTCACTGCAAACCGTGTCTTCGTCAAGGCGGGAATATATGATAAATTCGTGAGCATCATAATTGAACGAACGACGAAGCTCGTCGTTGGACATGGAGGCGATCCATCCTCAAGCATTGGTCCAGTTACTACGACCCAAAGCCTTGATCGAGCAGATGATCAAGTAAAGGATGCACGGCGTCATGGAGCAAGGATACTGCTGGGTGGAGAACGGATCAAGTCCTGTAAAGGCTTCTTTTTTCAGCCCACGATCATTGGGGAGGCCAACAGAAATATGAGGGTTTCTGACGAGGAAAGTTTTGCGCCTATCTTGACTTTTTACAAATTCGCAACCGAGGAAGAGGCTGTTTTGTTTGCGAACGACACTTCTATGGGTCTGGCATCATATGTCTTCACCAAGGACCTGGATCGAGCCTGGAGATTATCCGATGAACTTGAGGCAGGGATGATCGGCGTGAACACAAGTAAGTAGGCTAAGACTGAAACATTTCCCTCTCATTGACACGTTCAGGTGGAATTTCAGGTGTCGAAACCCCTTTTGGAGGCCTGAAGGAGTCAGGGTACGGCAAGGAAGCCGGGAAGGATGTAGCGGTGGATGAATATCTTGTGACAAAGGCAATCTCGATTGCTGTCGAAAGCCGCTTGTGAATGAATTACCGAGGCCGACCTTGTGTAACAGCTCTCATCATGAATATGGACTCGCGAGCTAAAACCTTGACAATGCACAAATTTCGAATTGTATTCAACGTACGACGGTTGCTGAACCAACTCGCTGATGTGAGCATTGTAACACACGTATCGCCTGCCTTCTTTTCTGAACCGTCATGTGATGGTTGGGCTGGATAAAGCCTTGTTGGAACAGTAAGCGCCCAGAGTTGGAAGTTTGGTCGTCCCATGAGCTAGTCGAGTTGGAATCGGCCCGTCGCCTCGTGCTAGTACATTCACAGTCTAGCATCGGCTTGTTGACCGTCTCCCTTGAATTTTCTCACCAAGGCTACCTCAAGAGGACCAAGTGCATATTACGGTAGAAGATCATGTTGCTGTGTCGCGACAATATGATCTGGATGGACTGTTCAACTCAGGCCAGTACTCTAGCCTTTCGGATGTTACCAGCCATCGGCGATATTAGGACATTCCATGCTAGACTCCCTACCTCATCGGACTTCATCGGACTTCCTCTATCGCTCCATGTCCTGAGAACTAGATCTTCTTATCGATGATCCTGATTCAGTCGCTTGTTCTCTGTCTGTTGCTAAGGAGTCCCGTACTCTATGGGCGGCGACTTGCAATCTTGACTTTGCATATATTTCAGATGGCCGACAGTGGATAAGATCTAGACTGTCAGCTGAACTCGATACTCTGTTAAACTTGATTCGAAGCCCTTACTTGAGTTTCAACAAAGCTTTCAACCATCAGCCATGTCGAAGAATACGGCTGAAGTGGAAAATAAACCCATGTCGTCCAATTCGGAGCCCGCGGACGACATGAGCGAAGGAGTTGTCGCTGTTAGCAATGGAGACATCATTGACGACGGTGTACGCCGTGCTCTCAAATCTCGTCACCTGCAGATGATTGCCCTTGGGGGTGTTATAGGTCCAGGCACATTTTATGCCACTGGTTTTGCTCTACGATACTCTGGCCCGGTCGGCGCCCTCATTGGATACATCATCATCGGTCTCGACGTATTTTTCGTTACGCAATCTTTGGGAGAGATGGCCACCCTTTTCCCATCAACTGGATCCTTCAACGAATTTGCGGGGCGCTTCGTCGACCCTGCTTTGTCCTTCGCGTTAGGATGGAACTATTGGTACATGTGGGGAACCATTCTTGCAAACGAATACAACGGAGCGGCTTTGATCATGAGCTTCTGGACCGACAAACTTCCAAACTACGCTTGGATACTGTTGTGCTGGGTGTTCTTTATGGGGACTTCACTCCTTGGAGTGCTTGCGTACGGTGAAATGGAGTTTTGGCTGGCGTCCTTCAAGTTCATAGTGACAATAATTCTGTACCTGGTCGCGATGTAAGTGCAATCTCCCGATTTTATTTCCAGTTGATACTGATGGCTTAAAAGACTACTCGACACCGGTGCAATCGGCGGCGACTACATAGGTTTCAGATACTGGAAAGATCCAGGACCATTTGCAAACGGCATCAACGGGTTCGGCAAAGTTCTTATCCTCGCGGCGGTTATGTACAGTGGAACTGAGGCAATTGCCATTACCGGTGGCGAATCTCGAAATCCAAAAAAAGACATTCCCAAGGCGCTCAAACAGACCTTCTGGCGTATTCTCATTGTTTACGTTGGAATGATGTTCTTTACCGGTCTCATCGTTCCTTCGAACTCGGAAGCGCTACTCAGTGCCACGTCAAAGAGCGCATCTTCTCCGTTTACAGTTGCCCTCAACAACGCCGGTTGGCGAGGAGCGGGCAACCTCATCAATGCGATTATTGTACTTACGCTCCTATCGTCAATCAACTCCGCAATCTACATTGGAAGCCGATGTATCTTCGCGCAGGCAAAAGCAGGACGCGCGCCAGCTATCCTGGCCTGGACCAGTAAAAGTGGAGTACCTGTTCCTGCAGTTGTGTTCAGCAATTTGATCGGACTTTTGTCACTTCTGAACATCTCTGAAAACGCTGGTAATGTTTTCAGCTATCTGTTATCCATTTCTGGAGCTGCAGCCTTCATCGCGTGGGCTTTCATAGGCTTAACACACTTGCGAATGCGCAGTGCGATGAAAGCCCAGGCAATCCCTCTTTCAGTTCTCCCTTACAAGTCCTTGGGGTACCCATACATTCCTTGGATCTTGCTGGTGGCGAACATCTTCTTGGTAATTATTTCAGGTTACACAACGTTGCTGCATCCCTTCGACCTCAAGGGATTCATTTTCTCTTACTTGGTTATCCCCTTATTTTTGATCCTCTACTTTGGATGGAAGCTGTATCACAGAACAACTATCGTCAACCCAGTTGACGCAGACCTCAAGTCGGGACGACGAGAGTGGTTGAGTAATGGCGAGGATGAGGAACGTCCGAATAAAGGTTTTTTCCGCAAGGCCAGAGAGTTAGTTGTTGGATAGAGCATCCTTTGAATGAGAAAAACCTGATGGTGGGACGGAAAAGTCTACATATTCTGTGTATCTCAATTCTGAAATAGTAATGTGCGCTTTTGTTTCCCAGTCCAAATAGTTCTACCTTCTTCAGAATTTCGGTTTTCTTCCTTTAGCATTATCATGGTAGAAATCTGTTTTCATGGATGCATGATAGATATCTATCATACAAAAAGTAAAATTCGCTACCTATCAACAAAGACTAACTAGTACATTCTTTACGCCTATCTGTCATTACTATGAAACACTTGATAAAGGAGCTTGAACGTTTACGCACTCAATACAAAAATGGAAAATATTTTTGATTGTCGGGACTTGTTCCCTCAACTCCTAAAAGATTTTAAAATTGAGTTGTTCCTTACTACTTAGTGAAAATAGTTGCACGTTAGTCCGATGTATCGGCGATGGCTCTGTCGGACATGGAAGTGGATCTAGAGGACAAAAGTTCGTCGGATACATCGGACTGTGCAGCACCGATTCTTCCAAAGTCCGAAAAGTGGTTACCCGCCGAAGAACAATCCGAGGAAGGACATGACATCGCCATGTTTAACTGCTGGGAGAAGATTGATGAACTCATTGCACAGTTCATGTTGAAAAATCCCGTCAACTTTCATTACTTTTCACACCATAAGGCGAAACCTAGGAAGTCGCAGAAAATCAATGGTCATGTCTCTTACGCCAAAGGTCTTCGAGTGCGAAGATAGCGTTCTTGACCCAGCAATCAAAGCACACATCTCAACATTATACGCGGCAGTCGACAATAAAGAAACCTTGGACATCTGGGGGTCTCATTTTTCAGAAGATGCCGAGCTGAAGAAAGGACCAGTCCACGTCAAAGGACGAGAAAGTAAGTTGGACTAAATATATATATTAAAAGGGAGAAGACTGATGTGGCCACGGTTAAGACCTCATCGCAGCTACAACAAAGTCGTGGAGCGTTGTTAAGAGTCGGGAGCACATTGTTTACAAAGTTTTTCCCTTTGGTCCGAATTGCGATGAGGTGATGCTCCACGGCAGGAGCCGTAACGTAACACTAGAAGATGAGAAGGTTACTTTTACTTGGGCAGCTAGGATGCACTTCAGGAGAAGCCCTGACGGCAAAGTTGAGATTGACAAGTATACAATCATTGTAGTACGATGCACCCCGTCTATATATCTTATGCCTTAACTAAAAGTCAGCAGGACAACAACCCACCCCCTGAGTAAAGATTTTTGATGATGAAATGACTACATAACAATGGTATCTTGCTTTGTAGAGCGTCTATGGAATTTCAATCTTGAGATAAACCCGTGTGCGTGCTGGAAAGATGCTGAAATTGATGATACTGCGATTTCGGCTGAGACTTGAAATTCAGCTGTGTCTTGATAAGAGCCAATACCTAAATGTCAGATGGATCTCACCCTGCTCCTAATATGTGTCGATGTGAATTTTTTTAGACTATAAATGTACCATAAGCGTTTCTTGTGATGCGAACCAATTACTTGATCTCAAAACTCGCACCCGCGACAGTGTCGTTTCCGGATAGAAGGCTTGAGGAAAGAGTCTGACCTCGAGCAGTACGTGCCCAACTGACGGCGGAAAGTTCACCAAACAATCGAAAAGACCCACATATCGAGCCTTAGTGCTACCAGCGTATGTTATTTGAAGGGTAGCAGAAATTGGAGCGGCGGCTGACTCGGATGTCACAAGTTTGTCGAGCTGATCCCATCGGCCTGCTTCGGAGGGGCGAGGAGGACAACATCTCCGATACGATGGAGCTCGAACGGAGATCCACTATGTTCTGCGATTCCGGGACCAGCGCCATACGTCGCTATATAGAATGTTCAGTGATTTGCTGTGCCTGAGATGAGCAGAAGTTGTTCACTTTCGAATTACCGCGCTGAAGTTTTACTCTTTGAAGGTGCACCAATATGTTGAAGCCTCATCCCTTGGATCCCTTGACCGCGCTGGAGATAAACAGCGCGGCAGCTCTCCTGAAGGAACATGAATCCGGTAACAGCATACATTTCAAGAATATTGAACTCCTCGAGCCTGCGAAGAAGCAGCTAAAGAAGTACTTGCGCGATGAGAGACTAGGCATCAAGCATGGCTCTGACTTGGCTCGGCGCGTCTCGGTGCTTTACTACTACCGCGGGACTGCCAAGCTATTCCGAGCTGTTATTGATTTAAGTGCGCGTTCCATCGAGGAGATCCAATCGCTTAATCCTCGATACCATGGACAGGCGGACATGGACGAAGTCCTGGAGGTCCGAGACGTCTGTATAAACCACCCGAAAGTCATCGAGCGCATCAAGAGGTTCAAGCTGCCCGAAAGTTTCACGGTGGTCTGCGACACTTGGCCATACGGCCGAGATTCTGCAGCAGCGACGCGACGATTGGCACAAGTAAGAATGTTCAGTTTCAAAATCTATACACTTTGCTAATCATTTCTTGAGTGCTTCTTGTATGCCAAAGATCGATCACACCCAGGAGCTAATTCATACGACAACCCACTTCCATTCTCTCCCATTATCGATTATATCACCAAGGAACTCGTAGATATCATTGAGCTTCCATGCGGCGATGACCACAGCACTACTACGGACCTTGAGTATATTCCACACGAAGCTAAAGAATGGCACCACGATCTTCAGACTAAGCCCAAGCGCACAGATTTGAAACCACTGACAGTTCATCAACCACAGGGCCCATCTTTCGCCATAGATGGACATCTTATCACTTGGCAGAAATGGCGCTTTAGGCTAGGGTTCAACTGGCGTGAGGGTATGGTCTTACACGATGTTACGTACGACGGGAGGGAACTCTTCCATCGATTGAGCTTGAGTGAGATGTTCGTTCCGTATGGAGACCCTCGAACCCCTTACTCGAGAAAGAGCGTGTTCGATGTGGGTGACATTGGCGCAGGCGTTGCCGCCAACAATCTAGCACTTGGCTGTGATTGCCTGGGCTTGATCAAGGTGAGCAGACCAAGTGTCGTCCTGACGCGGAAATGGCTAACTTGTAGCAAGTACTTCTCCTTTGTGATTTCGGACTCCAATGGACGGCCCGTCGAGCGACCCAATGCCGTTTGCATGCATGAGATCGACGATGGGATTGGGTGGAAGCACACTGACAACGCTACCAAGCAAGTATCGATTGTTAGATCTCGCGTTCTCGTTTTGCAGACCATCATCACTGTTGGCAATTACGAGTACATATTTATGTGGCACTTTGACCAAGCTGCCGCTTTGCACTACCGAATCCAGGCCACTGGAATCTTGTCTACTGTGCCAATTAGTCCTGGGTATACAGTTCCATACGGCACGAATGTCAACGAAGGTGTCATGGCCCCATATCATCAACACATCTTCGCACTGCGCATCGATCCCGCTATAGATGGGGACGGTAATAGTTTTGTGGAGGAAGATTCAGTACCAATGCCGTTCGACAAAGACAACCCAGTTGGCGTTGGTTATATTACCAAGAAAAACACGCTCCTTGAATCAGGCTACTCGGAGGCTCGTCCGAACCGCGTCCACAAAATCGTCAATCCGTCTGTCATCAACAAGGTATCAAAGAGACCCGTTGCATATGCAATTCACAGTCCACAGAAGGAAATGCTTCTCGCGCATCCCGACTCCTGGCATGCGAAGCGAGCAAAATATGCGCTTCAACCGTACTGGGTCACTGCGCATCGTGACAATGAACTGTATGCAGCCGGCGACTACACGTATCAGTCACTCCCAGAAGATGTTGATCCGGCATCGATGACCGCTCCACCGCGTGGAGATCTCGCCTCTTGGGCAGCAAGGAGAGACAACGTTGATAACGAGGACATTGTTGTATGGCACTCTATTAGTCTTACCCACAACCCACGGCCGGAAGATTACCCCGTGATGCCATGTGAAACTATGACGGTCAGTTTGAAACCCAGCGGTTTCTTCGAGCAGAACCCTGCTCTTGACGTACCGCAAAGCACTCAGCGAGCGAATCGTAGCGTACTGTATGAGCAATTCAAGTTGTCTCAAGAAGATTCGGGAAGAAGCTGTTGTGAGGCTAAAACCTCAAAGATATAAATTGGCGGAATCCTTTGGTGAATTCAGTGAAACTTTTGGCGGCAGGACATCTGGGTCATTCATCTCTGTTGAACCTCCAAGCATAGCGATAATTCAATTTTGCGTACTATTTTTGAAAAAATGAAGTTAAAGAGCCATTGAAAGAGCCAAGCAATTAAATATCGTAATTTCCATATCAAGTTCCTTGCAATGAAAATGCTTACATTGAGAGGTCGAGGAACAATCTCAGGTCACGTGTAAGATGATTGCTGCTCGAATCGGGTTAATGTCCGCTCCCTGAACTTAGCGTACCATTAGCATTGTGGTTCACCTAGAAGACTCGGAGTTCTCCAAGGCTAGAAAGTTACCATGAGATCAAGAAGTCTCTCATGAGAGTGTCGAAATGCCAGATCCAGACAACGCTACTGGCCCAGTAAAGCGACAACGTGTGCTGGCGTGTCAAAGATGTCGTCGACGAAAGCAGAAGGTTGGTTTGTTTTTGCTCGTAGTACAAACTTTTATTTGTATGACGAGACTGACTTTGCACAATTCCAGTGTACTGATAGTAGACCATGTGAGAATTGCGTCCAGTCAGGCTCGGAATGCGTGCCATTCGAATCGTCGATCACGGCTGCAACCGGAAACGAGTTAGTGATGTTCTTCCCAGAGGCTTGATCATGCATGCTGACCTCACAGACAGATATGTTCAACGGCTTGAAGAACGTGTTGCACAACTTGAGGCTCAGATTCCTCGGGAAGGGCTTGACCACTTGCAACTTGAACGGTTGCGGTCTCGCGAATCCGTTTCGCACTTGATGACGAGGAACGAAGGCCAGGTAACCGCGGCCGAATGAGGAACATTCAGGGCCTTATCGCTTATATGTAACCAGAATTCACCTAGCTCAAGTCATGAGTTTCCGGACCTTACTCACTCCCCCGTTGGATTTCATGTATCAGCACATACACCCATGGTGACGGACATGGCTCCACCTAGAAGTGCAGCGTCCAACCGTTCCTCAGGAGCGCCCTTAGGTGGTGGTCATCAATTTGAGGTGACTGAACTTGGGGTTGAACAAGAGCGTGCACTTTTGGAGACCTACTTTCGAATGGCCCATGCCCAGTACCCATTTTTGCTTCGACATGAAGTTTACCAGTGGATAGACGCATGGTGGGCTCAACGAGGTAATCCTTCAGAGGAGCTGAAATGGCAGGCATTTTTTGTTCACATGGTAGGCTCAGCATTCTTTTCTCGGGGATCATTACTGAGAAAGTACATAGATTTATGCTATTGGACTTGTGATGACCAAATCACGATTAGACGGACCGACCTTGGCACAGGTTAGCAATCTTTAACATTGAAATCAACAGTATGCTTAACTTGCGCAGAAACTTCACGCAACTGCTACGACGATGTATCTTCCTCATCTAAAATCTTTGTCGAACCCGCTACGCCGAGCTCAGGGCTTGCTGCTCTTGACAGTCTATTGTCTTCATATGCCCTCTCAGGAGAACATAATTTCACTCTCCTCCATGACGATAAGGTTTTGCATCATGTCACAGTTTCACCTCCTTGAAACTGAACCGAAAGTTCTCAGCAGGGATGAAATTATCGAAATACAGGTTCGAAGACGTGTGTTCTGGTGTGCCTACGCAATCGACAGGGCCGTGTGCAGTACATTTGACTTTCCCTGTTCGATTCCAGACGATAACATCACGGTGCCTGTAGGTAACCCTGTGATCCGAATCAGGGGAAAGTAGACTCACGAAAATAGCTATTTGACGATGTCGACGACGATCAATTGCTTACGTCTTGGGATCCGTCTGCGGCTATATCACCGGCTGTTGCGACAATGATGACTCCAGCGTTGCACGTAATCAAAAGTCGACAAATCGAATCCGAAATGCAAGAAATGATGCTACGCAAGAGCTTTTCTCCGGAGTCCAGTCAAGCATTTCACTGGCGCTCGATGATGCTCGTCAAGCTGCAGGAATGGAACAGCATCTCAAGAAGCTCCCCTGAGCCATTTCAGAAGGGATATGTAAGCCTTCGATGGTTGGAGATGATATACTACTATCACATAATCTCTCTTTTTCGGCCCACAAAGGCGCTTGCATCCGGCATAGCAGGCGATTGGTCGGTCCACAGCTGTTGCAAAGCTCTGACACTATTTCGACGATTCCAGATGGCACGAGAGATTGCGAAGCCCTGGCTAGGAGTATGCTTTTCGGGTCTTTTTGAATTTTAAAAGCGTGGTTTGACTAACAGGTATGTGCTAGCTCTTGACGCAATTCCAGATTGGAGTCACGCTATTGTATTGCTTTTTCGCGACACCGCCAAGTCAATGGAAAGATTCGTATCGATCGCCGGATGTGCTTGACGCCATTCGGGCATGTTCGACCACTCTTGCGATCCTCGCTGACCGCTGGACGGAAGCTGAATGCACGCGAGATGTGTTTGAGGTTTTAGCCAGAGAAGTGCCAGTAGCAGAAAATTGGCGTCGACCGACTCGGATGAGCGAACGTGGAAGAAAGGACATCGAGCAGAACTGGCCGCTTTTGCAGTCCACCGTCATTCATCGACCGACTCTACGAATGATTCACGAGATGGCGGCTGAAGACTTTGCACAGGATGACGACCTGGACGTAGATGTTGCTAGTGGAGTCAATCCAGAAGCACGCTCGGAGATGCCTTCTACAGGGGAATTCGATCTGCAATGGATCGATCCATCGCATGGACCTCTGGGAGATATGGCGACCCATTTTAACCGCAGTGGTGCGACGGGCTTGTACACGGCCAACTTCGATCTAGACTACGGGTGATGGGCTGGCGAAAGATAACAAGACCCCTGTGTTCTACTCGCGACCTCAGCGAGGAATGAGGACGTAGCAGAAGACATTTTGATTTCGGACAACGCATCCGAACGTTGGGAGGATTGAACCAGGCAGGAGGCTTCTGTGAAGAATCACTAGACACAGCCGTGTCGAAAATGTCGCTTTACTACTGCCTTCAGCATCGGATTACTTTTACGTAGACTGACTCGATCGACGACAGCTAGGACGTTTGTGCGCAAAGTCTTGCCTTGGCCGTCATGGTCAGCGTGCTCTAGTTCAGCTCGACTCAAATCATGGAGACCTTGCGCCTCAGACAACTCGGCCAAATGCTGCCTTGAAGCCTTGTAGCCTGACCCGCCTTGGCACCGTGGGACAGACCCCTCGCCCCTCCACAAGTCGCGGGGGTTTGCATCACGGCGACGGAAGCAAAAAGCAAAAGAACTGCGAAAGGCGGGAAAGGATTGGAAAAAATAAAGATGTTTAAGAAAGAGTGCGGAGACCCACGCCCCCGATCCCAAAGCCATCTGACCAAGCGAGCTAATCCAGAGTGCCCACAGCGTGTCCATCTCGTCGCGCAGCAAGCTAAAAACGTCGCAACAGCGCGCCCTGCGAGAGAAGTTCCGCACCGCGTACCCGCTGCTGGAGCCGTGCCTGGACGCGGCGCTAGGCGCGAAGAATGAGCAGTGGGAACTGCTGAAGCTCAAGGTCAAGGGGGAGGAGAACAAGGAGAAGGAGAAGGTCGAGGTGCACAGCGTGAACCTGTACGTGCTGCCTGGCGGCAAGGCCGGCGAGTCGCGTCCGCTCTTCTACGAGACAAAGGACGACCTGGTCCCGCACCTCAAGCTGGTCCACCGCTTCCCGGACGCGTGGCCGCGCCTGCGCATCGACAGGGGCGCCATCCGCTTCGTGCTCTCGGGCGCGAAGCTCGCCGCGCCGGGCCTGACCTCTCCCGGCGGCAGGTTACCCGGCGAAGGCGAGGACGAGGATCGGTACGGGAGCGAGGAGCTGGAAGAGGGCAAGGTGGTGGTGATTGAGGCGGAGGGCAAGGAGCATGCGTGCATGGTGGGCACGCTGCTCATGAGCACGGACAAGATGAAGAGGGAAAAGAAGGGCTACGCCATGGACGACGGTCACTATCTGGGCGACCACCTGTGGAGCCTGCCGTTGGACTGACGTGAGGCACGTTAGGATGCCGTAGAGAGTTGGTCGTCACGGCAACCACGGCGCAGGATCTTTTGCTGAGAGGCCGGCCGCGGTCTGATGCATGAGGTCAGTTAGCTGTACGAGGCCACAGAGAGTCACGTTCAAGGTCGGAAGCCGCGTGAAACCAAGCGAAAAAAAAAAAGGTCGCTAATCACGTGTGGTTCTGTATCATGACTGCAAGGGACCAGTCCAAGCAAGCAAGCAAGCAAGCAAGCACAATGAGCTCAACGTAAAGAATAGAGCCTTCATCCCGCACCATTTGCTCAATGCTCCTTTTCATTTTCACGTACTCAGTGCAAACCCCACAAATGCTCGCCGGTGGGGGCATGTTCGCGGGGGAACAATACAGAACGCTGGCTACATGTCATTGCTGGTATATTGCTGGATCTATCCTGTCTTTTGTGTAATGGCCCGGACAGTGCTCTCTGCGCCATGCCTCGTTTGCTCTCGAGTGATCAAGCGTTTTCTTTCACGCGCCTCGCCCACGTCCCCCAGGTGCGCCGCCTCCTCCCATCAAGTTTCTCGCCCTGTTTTCAAGCAGTCGTCAGCGGTCAAACGTCCCACAGAGAAGAGAAGGCCGCCAGCCGGGAAGCGAACTTACATTTCAGCTATGCTCGGGTCGTTCATCAAACTGGACAGATCCGGCATCCCGCCACCCCGTCCTCCCGCTCCGCCGGCGCCGCTGAACTGGTTGGCCATTTCGCGTATGCGCGGGTTGCTCATGAGGTTGTTCAAGGCCTCGGGGTTAGACATGAGGTTCTGCGCCATCTGCCTCATCATCGGATTGTTCATCATCTCCGCGAAGTTGGGCATGCCGCCGCTGCCGCCGCCTTGGCCGCCGAACATGCCAGCCAGGGAGGACAGGTCTGGCATTCCCCCTGCGCCGGGACCGCCGCGCGAGGATATGTCGTCATTTGAGCCGGCCGCCCCGGAGCCTTCTTCTTCTTCGACCCTGCGTTTCGCGGTTTCGTACCCTTTCCTCATGGCCTCGCTTCCGCCGTTGCCCTCGGCGTCGATGCCCTTCTTGTACGCCTCCATGCTAGCCCTCGCGTCCCCAAGCGCGAAATGCGCAAGACCGAGTCTGCTCCACGCCTTCGTGTACGACGGATCAGCGGCCGTCGCCATCTCCGCGTCGGCCTTTGCCTCAGCGTGGCGCTGCAAAGCAGAGTATGCGGCAGCCCGGTTAGAGAGGTAGATTGCGTTGAGGGGATCGAGGTTGATTGCCTGCGTGTAGAAGTCGATGGCTTCTGCGTACGCCTTGCGTTGCATGGCTTGGTTGCCCTGTGCCTTGAGCTCGTCGGCCTTCTTCTTCGTCTCCTCGTTAGGCCCTGCCCCAGCGGCCGACCCGCCCTTTGCAGCGGTCTGGGGGGTTGCAGGGCGGCCCTCGGCGGCGCTTGACGTGCCCGTTGTGCTTGCCGTGCTCTTTCCCTTCAGCTTCTCGTACACCGAGTAGATGGCCAGCAAGTTCTGGCCCCCGAGCGCATCCTTAATGGCAGCTTCGTCTGTAGGATCGACCTTGAAGGCCTCTGCAATGCAGTTCGTGGCGATCTCTATCGACTCGGAGTCTTCCGAAGAGACTGTTCCGTCTTTGAGCGAGGCGTTGAGGAAGTCTATTATGGCGAGCGCGAGCCGCTTTTTGGACGTCGCCGAGCTGGCCATGTTGTGATTATGCGAGGCTTGTGCTTGGGTCCTCTGAGAGCAAAGAAACGCGATTGAATTACGGGGTTTGCTGTTTGAGAGGCCAGGAAGTTAGTCGGACATGTGTTGCGCGCTTCCAACTGTTGTCTCAGAATTCTAGAATCGAGGTTCTGCATCCTCGAGCGCGCACATGGCGGGGCTCGTTGGTCTTGGCATTTGCGTCTCTCCCCCGAATTGCACAGCGCCACAAATTTTGAACCACGCCCTGAGTCCGTTCGTGGAAAGAAAAAAAAAAAAAAGGAATATATACACAACTAGGAGGCCAAAATGGACGAAAGTATTGGAACTTCGAGATCGTTGTGGGAGCGCGAGTAGCTTAACAAACGTACTGCGTCGCCGTGAGCTTTCGCGATGCTGTCCGGAGCACAGAAATGACTGTATCCTCCACGGCGTAGCTGTACCTCACATCCAGTGTTTTTTTGACAGCAAAAGATGTCATCCTCTATGCACCACTTGGTAGAGAAATCATATGCGCAGAACGGATTGCAAACGCGATCGCAGACGTTTCATGTCCAGAGTCTGGCAAAGGATTGCTTGTAATTTTTAACAGTGCCTCGAGTATTTCAACAAGTCTTCCTGTAACACGGAACGAAAGCAAGGAGGTCAGGAAAGTTAGGGCATACATCAAGATCTAGCGTCCGCTGGTGAGAGTAGATACACACACACGCACACGCACGTATACAGACACACACACACACGCTCTTTCTTTCTCTTGCTTGTCTGCATTGAAGAGTCCATTTCGTCTATCGGCAAAGTATGACGGCGGAAAGCACATGATAGACGAAGATTCTTCTTGCGCAGGCTGTTCTCAGCAGCTTTGCGATTCAACGAAGCAACGAGGGAGGTGCGTGTACTTGACCGGAATCAGGGCGACTATTCTTGCAAGACCTGGTTCTGTTACAAGAGAAACCTCTTTTTCTGTTGGCAACAGCAAGCTCGAGGAGATGATCCTGAGGAGAAGCACCGCAGCTCCGCAAATAAGCGACCGGACGGACGTTGTTGGACAAGTCTCAGCCGAAGCATAGGCCGCCGATGCGCCCAAACAAGCAGACGTCACTCGGACCACTCCCGTCGCTCTCGGGTCGAAGGGCATGGCTTCTTAGAACTGCAGATCAGCCGATCGTTGCCAAGGACGAGGGCATTGCTGAAGTGCCAGACGTTATCAGCACAGCACTGCGCTGTAAACGCAGTGGTGGCAGCAGTGATCTCGGCCGGCCGAAGAGACTCTTCCATTCATGCGCTATCGGGGCGCGTGAGGTTCCTGACGGCGCTAGTCTCCTCGAACAAGTAGGACTAGGGAGCGGGTCCCAGGCGGTTGTCAGACCAAGCTACGGATATTTTCCTGGACCGGCCACACAGGTCGGTCCTCTCCAGGCAAAGATCTCGCACAAAGCTCGGGGCGCTGATGACCTGCTGGCCGCAGTCCGCGGGCTGGAGACGCGCAGCAGGCAGAGTCGGGCACGGCTTCGACGGGGCGTGCCTGGAGGATCGCGTAGCTCTTTTCGGACGGTGGCAAAGGCCCATGAGGCCGCTCGCAAGGCGTTTCTGCATTCGGAACGAGGGGTAGAGACGTGGGCGGGCGCTCGCTTTGAACGCTGGACAGCCCCCATGGCACGCTCGCCGTGACGTTTCTCCCCCATCCGATGCGGCGAGCTTGATGCGGCCGTCCGGCGGACGAGGGGCGGATCCGTGCTGGTCGACCTCGTTCGCTCTGCGTCGGCTGGCCGGTCCATCGATTGCTACGTCCCTGTCTACAGCACGAAAACAGGCCGGACAAAGGGCTTGACCAGGCTGAACAAGGCCCAAATTCGAATCCAGAGCTGGCATCAGGCACGCTGGACGGCGCTGTCCCGCGTGCTGGTTGAGTAATCGGCCGCTGCTCGCGCCTCGCGACAAGAGACACCGAGAAGCTGTCTCTGGGAGCCCAAAGCGCACCGAGGCTCTCTCTCGGACGGACCAGGGTGCCCTCATCGTCACGACCGTCGCGCTCATCACGACGATGGAGTCGACCCGTCTGCCATGGTCCGGAGCGCGTGCGGGTGGGAGGTGCGGCGACGCTGGAGACGCGCCGGCTCGGGAAGGCGAACGACGTGGGCGCAACAAAGGTCACGCAAACGACCAGGCCGATCTGGACCAGTGGGACGCACGAAGATCAGACTCAGACTCGAGTGCGCAAAAGGCCGGGCGGATTTGTCGCTCGTTTCATGCGTGCCACTGACGACGCGCCGTAACCACGTCGACCCCGCTCCATCATGACGACCCCACCACGTAAAAGCCCCTTCTCCCCGTCTCTCCAGCAGGCCGAGAGCCAATTGAAGCCAGCTTCTGTCGCAGCGCGTTTCCGTTCGAGGCGATCTGATCTCCACTTGCATCCTCGCCGAAGTCGACATCCCAGCGTGCTGGGCGAAAGCAGAGCTTGCGAGCTGTGTTTGCCGTGCCCGTGTCCATATATAAAGACGAGGGTGTTTCCCCTCACACACCTTGAGTCGCCACCTTGTCCTTTCCCACAGTCTCCCCTTTCTCCTACCAAAGAAAAAAAAATTCTTGCGTTCCGAAGACCAAAAATCAAGTCCCAGTTTTTGAGATACCCCGCCCTTTGATTGTTGTTCGCAATGACTTCGGTCACGCTCAAGACGCCGCAGACGGGCGAGTATGAGCAGCCAACCGGCCTGTGAGTAGTGCACCATGAGTCCCGCGGACGGAGGGAAGAGAGGCACAGAAAGCCAAGCAAGACACCAGCGAGGCCGATCTGGCTCTTCGACCATCTTCTCGTCGTCCCCCCTCCCAGTCGGCTCTCGGGCAGTGCAGACCAGCTAACGTACGCGCTTCCACAGCTTCATCAACAACGAGTTCGTGAAGGCCGTTGATGGCAAGACGTTCGACGTCATCAACCCAACAGACGAGTCTGTCATCTGCTCCGTCCAGGAGGCTACCGAGAAGGATGTCGACATTGCCGTCGCCGCAGCTCGAAAGGCGTTCGAGGGCGAATGGCGGACAGTCACTCCGGAGGCAAGAGGCAAGCTGCTGTGCAAGCTTGCCGACCTGTTCGAGAAGAACGCAGACCTGCTGGCCGCCGTGGAGGCGCTTGACAACGGCAAGGCGTTCAGCATGGCCAAGGCCGCTGACATTCCCGGCTGCGCCGGTTGCTTGAGATACTACGGTGGCTGGGCAGACAAGATCGAGGGCAAGATCATCGACACCGATCCGTCGACGTTCAACTACACCAAGAAGGAGCCGGTGAGTGCCCAGCAGTCCCATCCCATCCCATCCCATCCCCATCCTCCAAGTCTCTCCATTCCTCAGAACATGCCAAGCTGACTTGCGTGTCGTCTAGATCGGTGTCTGCGGTCAGATCATCCCATGGAACTTCCCCCTGCTCATGTGGGCATGGAAGATTGGTCCAGCCATCGCTGCTGGCAACACCGTCGTCATCAAGACGGCCGAGCAGACGCCCCTTTCTGCGTACGTGGCGTGCAAGCTTGTCAAGGAGGCAGGCTTCCCACCGGGCGTCATCAACGTCATCACGGGCTTCGGAAAGGTCGCCGGTGCCGCGCTCTCCTCACATATGGACGTCGACAAGGTTGCCTTCACCGGCTCCACCGTTGTCGGCCGTCAGATCATGAAGGCTGCCGCCGGCTCCAACCTGAAGAAGGTCACCCTCGAGCTTGGCGGCAAGTCGCCCAACATCGTGTTCGAGGACGCCGACATCGACAACGCCATCTCGTGGGTCAACTTCGGCATCTTCTTCAACCACGGCCAGTGCTGCTGCGCCGGCTCTCGCATCTACGTCCAAGAGTCGATCTACGACCAGTTCGTCGAGCGCTTCAAGGAGCGGGCGGCGAAGAACAAGGTCGGCGACCCCTTCAGCCCAGACACGTTCCAGGGCCCGCAGGTGTCGCAGGTCCAGTTCGACCGCATCATGTCGTACATTGAGCACGGCAAGCAGGCCGGTGCCAAGATCGAGACGGGCGGCAAGCGACTCGGCGACAAGGGATACTTCATCGAGCCGACCATCTTCTCCGGCGTCACGGAGGACATGAAGATCATGCAGGAGGAGATCTTCGGCCCCGTGTGCGCCATTTCGAAATTCAAGACCAAGGAGGAAGCCATCCGCCTGGGCAACTCGACCTCGTACGGTCTCGCCGCCGCCGTGCACACAAAGAACCTGAACACGGCCATCGAGGTCTCGAATGCTCTGCGCGCCGGCACCGTGTGGGTCAACACCTACAACACCCTTCACTGGCAGCTTCCCTTCGGTGGCTACAAGGAGTCTGGCATTGGCCGCGAGCTCGGCGAGGTCGCGCTTGACAACTACCTCCAGACCAAGACGGTGTCGATCCGTCTGGGTGACGCCTTGTTCGGTTGAGGGGGACCATGCATGGCTCTGATGCTTTGAGGCCAAAAAGAAAAGAGGAAAACGATAATGAGTTCTGGTTCCGCGAAGCCGCACGGAAATTCACTGTACATAGTTCTTTTCACGTCGGGGAAATGTAGCATCTGCCAATGACCACCTCTTGTACGCTGACTTGCTTCTGTGACGAACGAATTCTCAGTTCCTTCACCCCGCCTTTGCTTGATGGCCGTCTCCCCGCCCCGCATCGATTCGTGCCAGGTGCACCAACCGCGTAACAAACAACAAGGTACCAAAGAAATAAATAATAATATCGTGGTAGTGGTTATCATGTGGCGGGAATGCAATTCGGAGGCACGGGCGCTGGCCTTGCCTGTGCCATTTTATTTTTTTTATTTTTATTTTTATTTTTTTTTATTTTTTTTTATTTTTTTCTTCCCCGTCGTAGACAATTCAAACAGCCTTATGACGGCGCGGTTTCACGGGCCTTTCCCGTCAAAAGAATGCACTAGGATTTTCTAAAGTGTTTTTTTTTAATTTTTTTTTTAAATATTTTTCATTTCGAAAAGAAGGAAAAAATTTAATTCTTTTTTTTTCCCTTTGTTTCCTAATGCCCACTAGGAGACGAGTCCAGCAGCAGCAGGAGGAGGATGAGGAGGAGGAGGATGAGGCGGCGATCAGAATAGACCCTGGAAAGCACGTCATTCCTTGGTTCAGTCAATTTTTGGACCTTTTTCACGGCCTGGGAACGGGTTTGCATAAAGGGCCAGCCCCGTGGGAACTTTTGACTGCTGAACACGATCGTCCGTCTTCTTCGTCTGATCCTGCTCCTCTTTTCTTTTCCTTTTCTTTCTTTCTTTTTCTTTGATCTGCTGCCGTTCGGCGAGGGAATCCTGAGTCCTCGTTCGACTGTTGTCCGCCCTGCAAAGTCAAAGACCGCCAACGCCAACGAAACGCCCCTCTGAGAATCCAAGCAGGCAATGGCGAGCAAGGCAACGTGCGTATGAAGTCTTCCCTCCCTGCCCCTTGCCGCCATCGTTCTAGACGCCCGTGTGACTGACGGCTTGTTCAGGAACATCACGTGGCACCCGTCGCTGTCGCGCGCGGAGAGACAGTCACTGCGGAAGCAGCGCGGTTTCACCATTTGGTTCACAGGTGAGTTTTGAAAACACCTCCTCTTGCCTCGAGCGTTTGACATGGCTCGGAGGGTGCTTGCGGGTACAAAGAACTGTGTGCAATTGTCAGTCGTCCTGCGTTATACAAGTAGCCCTGCGCCGTTTCGCACTTAGGACAGCTCTCAGCACCGTCTTTAAGCTACTTGTTTGCTCTGTTCTTATTTATTCCTTTTTGATTCTTCTTTTTTCCCCCAAAGGAACAAACACTTCACGTGATTGAAATTTTCCGTCGCATTGTGGTTACCCGGACTTCGACACCTCCCGCAACCAATCACGCCTCTGATTTCTGACTTGGGGGGTTTTTTTTCTTTCTCTCTAACGATGAAAATGGGCCACAGGTCTCTCCGCGTCTGGCAAGTCCACCATCGCCGTCGCGCTGGAGCAGCACCTGCTCCACCTCGGATACAGCGCCTACCTCCTGGACGGCGACAACATCCGCTTCGGCCTGAACAAGAACCTCGGCTTCAGCCCCGACGACCGCACGGAGAACATCCGTCGCATCTCGGAGGTGGCCAAGCTGTTCGCCGACAGCACGACGATCGCGCTGACCAGCTTCATCAGCCCGTACAAGGCCGACCGCCAGGCCGCGCGCGACCTGCACGCCGCGCCCGGCGCCAGCTCAGGCGGCAAGAACGAGGACCCCATCCCCTTCGTCGAGGTGTTCGTCGACGTGCCCGTCGAGGTCGCCGAGCAGCGGGACCCCAAGGGCCTGTACAAGAAGGCGCGGGCCGGGGAGATCAAGGAGTTCACGGGCGTGAGCGCGCCGTACGAGGCACCCGATGCCCCGGAGGTCCACATCAGGAACGTGGATCTGAGCGTGGAAGACGCGGTTGCGCAGATTGTGCGGTACCTCGAGCAGAAGAAGCTCCTGGAGCGACCTGGCGTCGTGGCGGTGGACAAGAAGGCGGAGGCACAGAGACTCCGGGAGGCGGTCGGAATGGTCGACATATAGAAAAGGGGAAAGAAGGAAAACCAAAGAAAAAGAAAAAGAAATAGAAAAAAAAAGGAGAATAGAAAAGAAAAGGACGGAGGCGACGCTTAACCGTTGCTCGCCGGTCCGTCTTGTAGAGAACTTTGCATAAACCATCATCTCATGCCGGTCGGCTGCTTCGAAGCCACCGAGAAATTGTCCTTTATCTACACATTTGCATGCGCGTGCGCCAAGCCAAGCCAGAAAAAAAAAAGGAAGACACGAATAATCCAGATGTTCCAGCGCGATTGCTACGCGATCTCAAACTCGTAGTATACATACGCCGTGTAATCCTCGTTTCCATGCTGGGCAATCTGCTCGGCCCCAACGCCCCCTCCCGAGTCGGTTGTGACGCGGCCCTTCTTGTCTCGGCCGAATGCGTTGCCTCCCAGGTACGAGTACTTTGCGTCAAGGTTGGTCCGGATCTTCTTCGCTTGTTTCGATGAGGTCTGGAAATAGAGGGAAAAAAGGTCAGCACGAACACTAGAGTAAGGACATGGGCGTGCCACCGGTAGCAGATAGCTTACCTGGATCAGAGTGCACACAAAGTCCAACGGCAATCCGTATCTTAACACCGTCTCCACAAACACCCTCAGCGCAAGAACATGCACCCAGACCATGGCGCCTTCCGAGTAGCCCGTTCGACCCAGCCTCAGCGCCTCGCCCCACAGCTTCCGTTCCTCTCTCTCCAGCTGCTCAACCTCCTTCCTTTCCTCCTCCTGTCCACCAGCCTTGTACTTGAAGTCCCGTGGAATCCACCTCTTCTCCCTAGCCTTGTGCAAAAAGTCCGCCGAGAACTTTTTGAACATCGTCACGGCAAACAGCGTGAACTCGTCGTCCTTGCTGATCTCCTGCGCCGAGCGCGGGACCACCATCTCGGCCAGCGATTCGTACGTCTTGAAAAAGTCCTTGGTGAGATTGTTGGGGACGGCGATGAGGTGAGTCTCCAGGTACTCGGAGTCTTGGATCAGCGCAGAAGGCGGGACGATAGATAGGAGAGAGCGCGTCGACAGATTGCCCGTCTGGCGGCGCTGAGAGGCCAGCAGGTTTGTCCTGACGGAGTTGTATTGGTTGAATTTGGCTTTGACGTCGTTGTCTATGCCGGCGATTTCCTAGTCACGCCGGTCAGCCTGGGCCTGGTCGATTGCTGGGAAAGAAAGATGATCAAGGTTGACGGTGCATCTGTACCTTCTGGAGTAGCTCAATGAGATCTGCTATGGACTTGTCCGCACGATACTTGACTTTGTTCCACTGAAATGAGCGTAGATACTGGTCCACGGGCTCTGTCGTGTGCGTCAGTGACCGTGGCTGCGGGACGCGACGCGCCGTCTGGCTTGTTCGCAAAGCAACCTACTGTCATTGATCGTCTTCTGATCCGCCACCTTCGCCTCGTCGCCGTCGAGGATGCTCTTCAGCGAATCGCCCACCTTGCCGACCACCGCCTCACAACCGGAGCTCAGCTTTGCGAGATCGTCCGCCTGCTGCACCAACGCATCGAGCGTTCCGATCTTGAAGGCGGGGATGGCGAAGGGCAGCACATTGCCGTCGCTGCCTACGGTCTTCTGAATAGCGCCGAACGCCTCGTCCTTGTGTGCGGAGGGAGTGATGGAGGTTGGCAGGGACACGAGAATGTACGTCGAGGGCTTGGACATGGCTGTGCGTACGGGCAGAGTGGTTGTGAGGCTCATGGGCGTGGGCTGTTTTTCCTACCTGCGCCTCCGATATCTCTTGACGACTCTCCGATGCGAAGGAAGCTTGCAGCTTGCTTGCTGGGGACGCATGGAAGCTTGGACCAGCGCCACCGCACGAGTCATCAGCCGTCGCCCGCTCGTTGGTCCTGGTGGTCCGACGCTGCATGTGCGACCTGATCAGGCCTTAAATTCCGCTTCCGACCCCGCCATCCGCCCGTCCAGTCCTCGCATCCTCCTTGTTCAGACAGCGACCATGTCCGCACGACGAGGCATTGGCCTCGCACGCTCGTTGTCCAGGGACCTGAGGTCTCAGAGAAGTCTATCTACTGCCGCTCAACTGCGTGTGGCGGCGTCTGCGGCACAGCGTCCGCGTCGTCGACCGTGTGCCCCAGCTCGTCCTTCGCCGGCGTCCGCTGCGCTTCCCTCCACATGCTGGCGCGGAGAGGTTCGTTCTGCGAGCAGCGATGCCGCTACATCTGCAGCTGCCGCACCCAAGAAGACGCCGCTCTACGATTTTCACGTGTCCAAGGGTGGCAAGATGGTCGAGTTTGGCGGCTTCTCTATGCCCGTGACGTACAGTGATATGACCATCTCCGAGTCGTCGCTGTGGACGAGAGAGAATGCGAGTTTGTTCGACGTCTCACACATGTACGTATGGTATTGAGGGGGAAGAAAATTACCTATCGCTTTGTACTCTTTGGCTTGTGCTGCTTTTGCTTGTACTGTACAAGGACACATACTCATTGGTGTGTAACGCAGGCTTCAACACGAACTCTCGGGTCCAGGCGCAGCAGCGTTCCTCGCCTCTATCACGCCAATCGATCCGCAGTCCCTGCCGCCTTTCCACTCTTCCCTCTCGGCGCTGCTGCATCCGACCGGCGGCATCGTCGACGACTGCATCATAACCAACCTCGGCACCAGGGACGGCGTCCCCGTTTTCTACTTCGTTACCAACGCCGGCAATCGCGATAAGGATATCAAGTATCTGGCGGAACAACTGAAGACATTCCAGGACGATGCAAAGAATGACAAAGTGGACTGGAAGATGCTGACCGACAATGGCTTGATCGCTGTGCAGGGCCCCGCTGCTGCGGAGGTGCTTACTCAAGTCGGAGCCGTGGATCCGAAAGACGGCAGCAAATGGGACTTCAACAAACTTTACTTTGGACAGTGCGCGTACATTCGGTTCGGCGACATGGCGCGGCCGTGCCTTGTGAGTCGAGGCGGCTACACTGGCGAAGACGGCTTTGAGATCAGCGTACCTTCTGCCGGACGGCTGGGAGAGAACAAGACGCTGAAGCTCGCGGAGCTGTTGCTCAAGACAAGCGACAAGTTGAGGCTTGCAGGGTTGGGAGCCAGAGACACGCTGAGGCTGGAAGCGGGAATGTGTCTGTACGGGCATGACATCGACGACACCACCACGCCGGTCGAGGCTGGATTGAGCTGGATTATCCCGAAATCTAGGCGCGCAACCGGTGGGTTTTTGGGCGCAGACACCATACTGTCGCAATTAAAGCCCAAGAAGGATGGGGGCAGCGGCGTTAGCCGTCGCAGAGTCGGCTTCACCATCAATGACAAGGCTCCCGCCCGGGAAGGATGCAAGATCGTGTCCGAATCTGGAGAGGAGATAGGCGTCATCACGAGTGGGGGCCCAAGTCCGTGCTTGGGCAAGAACATTGCCATGGGCTACATCAAGGACGGAATGCACAAATCCGGCACGGAGGTGGGCGTTGTGGTAAGGAACAAGACGCGGAAGGCTGTGGTGACGAAGATGCCGTTTGTACCTAGCAAGTACTTCAAAGGGAGCTGATATCTACCGGTTCCTTCGCCAAACAATGTCACACATGTCGAAAAGTCGTTGAACTCGTCTTGCTGCGTCACTAGACTGAACATCAAACCTGAACGTTTCTGAGGCCTGTCGCCCCGATCTTTCCTGCCCTCACATTCTGCCCAACATTTAGCCACCAGCATCTGCATCAGGGCGCTTGTTTCGCGACGCTCTATGCCAGCATGCCCTTGTTCTTCTGGGGAAAGAAAAAGGCCGCCACGGCCCCGACGCCCCAGATGAACGCCTGGTCGACCATTTGGATGTTCCCAGGCAGCGCGACGTAGGTGTCGCCTCGGTAGAATGCGCGAAGGGCGTTGATGAGCGTGATGCCGCCGCCGTCCAAAAGGTCCTCGAAGAAGGCCTGCTTGAACAGGCCCGCAGGATCCGTCCTCTCCGTGAACGTGGCCGCCTCGCCCTTGATGAACTTGAAGCTGTGGACGTGCCGGCGCGGGATCCTCAGCGGCTCGTCCTCCGGCGTGAGCACGACCGTGCGGCCGTCGAGCGTGAACTCGACCCGGCCGAAGAGAACCTTCATCAGCTCGTCGTGGTGCTTGTGCCAGTGCAAGCCAATCTCCGGCACCCATGAGTCCGGCTCGCCGTCGTAGTGGACTTCCGACCAGCGCTGGTCGATCGAGTCTGCGGGCTGGGACTCGTCGACGAAGAACTTGATCGTGCAGCCCTGGTCGGATCAACGACGTCCACGAGGCAATGTGTGCATGTGTGTATGTGTGAAGGGGTGCTTCGAATGATGCCGCACCTTTCCCAAGGCCAGCTGGCCTGTCAGCCTTCCTGTGGCCATGTCGAAATCCGTAGAGAAGAGCGCGCTGGAAGAGCCGAGTCGCGCTGGGGAGAAGTCAGTGCCGGGTTTGGGGGCCAATCTCGCACGACTCACCGCGTTGCGATTCCTAAGTCCAGCGTCGCGCACGATGGTGTTTTCGACACGTTTCGCGACAACAGAGAGCCGACGCAAAAAGATGTAAGAAGCTTACGGGCCTTCCGTCAGCCCCATCCATCCATCCGTCCATCTAGTAAAAGAAACTCAGGAGAGCCTTACGAGGCGACGGCGTTCCAAGTCTTCGCCCAGCGCGAAACCTGGCGAGACACCAGGATCGACCCGCCAATGGTATCGCTATCGTTGAAGTTCTCGCGTCTTTAGGCCGCAAGGAATAGCCTCTTTTGCTTTGATAGCAGCCACCGAGGAGGAGCAAAAATCTGGGGTGTAGTTGATCCTTCGATCGTCCGCAATCTTGCCGTGAGATAGATGAGTATGCCCACTTATGCTTGTAATCTAGCTTACCGCAATTCGGGACGGTCTCAAAACGGATCTACGCTCGCCGTCATCGTCGCGGGCACAGTACGAGCGGACGCCTCCGCTATGAAAGAGGGGGGGGCTGAGAGCACAGTGGCGGCATCTCCTCTACCGCGAACACCGCTGGCACTCCTTTGGAGACAGCCACGCCAACGCGGTGAACAACTACAACGACGAGTCGCAGTCTGTTGCGGCGTGGCCAAAAAAAGATCTATGTCTCTTGCACGCTCACATGGACCATCTCCGACGCATCTCCGGCTACGCTTGTCAAAAGAGGTACGTACCGAGGCTGCGAAGCGACGACGCCACGGCCCAGAGTACGAGATGAATCATCACGAGCAACCACTTCGACCCATCGCGTTGAAACCGGGACGCCAGCTCCGGCTTGCTTTCGTGGCACCACACTCTACTGGAACCCGATCTGGCGAACCAAGAGGCAAGGCTGAGGCTGAAAATCACAAGCGCTCTGCACCTGAGGACGACCGGCGGCGGACCCACTTGACGCACACGTCCGGCAATGTTTTGGCGCTGTGCCCATTGAGTTATCGTGCCGCTTCGCCAATTCACGTACGGAGGTCCCACGATGAGGTGGATAGACTGAGCGCGGATGCCGAGGCATTGGGCGACGATGCCAGTTTATATTGGACAAGAGACGAGTCGATGCCATTCCTCCTTATCTTGTACCACGATTGCGCACTTCATCATCTTTGCTCTTCGTCCCCTCGCTCCCTCTTTTTTCTTTAGCGTCTCGTCTTTATCTTTGGCGCTTTTCTTTTTTTCCCTCCTTGGACTGAACGAAAAAAAAATTTACCTAGGGGAACCCACCTTGCAACTGCAACCTGTCGTCAACGGCCCGTCTTTTCATCTTCAACCAAGTACACCTTCATCGCCCAAAAAGCCATGGCGCGGGACTACGAGGCCGTTCGTGAATCCATAAAGAAGCTGCTCCATCAGCCTGAGTATGACGACGGCAGTGCCGGCCCAGTTCTCGTCCGTTTGGCGTGGCACTCTGCGGGCACATACGACGTCGAAACGGACACCGGTGGCTCCAACGGCGCCGGTATGCGTTACGAAGCCGAAGGTGGCGACCCGGCTAACGCAGGTCTGCAACACGCCCGTGCATTTCTCGAACCCGTGAAGGCTCAGCATCCTTGGATCACCTACTCGGATCTATGGACTCTGGCTGGCGTGGTCGCCATTGAAGAGATGGGTGGTCCACGGATACCGTGGCGACCAGGCCGCACCGACTTCGTCGACGACTCCAAGGTACCGCCTCGAGGTCGTCTTCCCGATGCCACGCAGGCCGCTGATCACCTGAGGCACATATTCTACCGAATGGGATTCAACGACCAGGAGATTGTGGCTTTGAGCGGTGCGCACAACTTGGGCCGCTGCCATTCCGACAGATCTGGCTTCGAGGGCAAGTGGGTCAATAACCCAACTCGCTTCTCAAACCAGTACTTCCGGCTGCTTCTCAGCGAGCAATGGAAGAAGAAGACGCTGCCAAACGGACTGGAGCAGTACATCTCGGTGGACGAGGAGACGGAAGTGGAGCTGATGATGCTGCCCACCGACATGGCGCTTATTCATGACGAGTCCTTCCGGCCTTGGGTGGAGAAGTACGCCAAGGACAAGGACCTGTTCTTTGCGGACTTCACCAAGGTGTTTGACAAGCTCATGGAGCTGGGCATCAGGCGGGGGGAAAACGGCGAGATCCTCAACACGGACAACGTCAAGGGTGGTTATATATCTGCGCCGCGAAAGAGTCCGGTTGCGGGCGCGACGTCGAAGACGCGTCAGACCGGACAGTCTTACGACGAGGCATCGCCCCTCAAGCAGCAGAACGAGGCGTTCAGGGCAAGGCTGTAGAATACATAGAACTTTGCGTCGCAAGGCGTAGTGTCGCGGCGATCATAGAACACCATAGACATAGCACTAGATACCATTAGATGTGTTAGAGTTAGAAATGAGATTGTGTAATTTTGATAGCGTCGATGCTCACTGGACCAAGCAGAGAAAAACGTTTGCAAGGAGGAAGAGATGATGAAAGGCAACGGATCAAGGGACAAAAGATCTATAACCATCACCCGTGTACATGCTCACGTGGAAACCGTCAGCGATGGAGGCGTACACGAACGGTCTACGTGGTCTAAGCATCTATGTACGCGCCAGGTCTAAACTTCAGGGTAGACGTCTGTCCTTCTTTTCAAGGGCATTTCTGTCTGGATCTTTTCCAGCATCTCCAAGTCGACGTCGAACACAGCCAGAACCGGCTCTCCAGACCATTCGCCGCCCAGATCCGCAACAACAGTGCCCCAAGGGTCCACAACGATCGAATGACCGTAGCTTCGTCTCTTCTCGTTGTGACTGCCGGCCTGCGCCGCTGCGACGACGTAGCTCTGCGTCTCAATCGCCCGGGCTCGCAACAGGACCTCCCAATGCGCCTGTCCCGTGGGCACGGTGAAGGCAGACGGATACGTGATGATTTGCGCCCCTTGTCTCCGCAAAGCAAGAGACGGCTCCGGGAAGCGAAGGTCGAAGCATATCAGCAAGCCTACACGGCCGATCTCCGTGTCGAACGGTGGGAGAATAGAGTCGCCCGGTTGGGTCGAGTCGCTCTCCCGCAGTATAGGCCCTCCGTCGATCTCCACGTCGAACAGGTGCAGCTTCTGGTATCGCTGGGTGATCTGTCCGGACGGATCGATCCAGATCGACGTGTTCTTCACACGCTTGGCCACCCCGTCGACCACGTCGGCCGGTTCGTGGATGCCCACGTTGATGGCAAGTTTTGATCTGCGAGCCGCGTCCTGGAGGCCGAGCACGAACGGCGACCTGCCGACAGGCAGAACGAGGGACACAGACTCAGATCCCGACGACGCGATGTAGTCTGATGCTTCGGGCAGGAAGAGAGCCCTCGCGCCCGCGGCAGAGGCTTTCTCGACCAAGGACTGGCACTGGCGTAGATTGTGATGCAAGTCCGCGGTCGAGCATATTTGACCGACGGCCTGGGTTGTGTAAGATGGTCATCAGCGCATGTGCAAGATGCTGTGCAAATGAGGTTCTGCAAGGGAATGCGCTATCAAGACTCTAGATCGTCGAACCCGACGCCTGGCCGTCGCTGTCGACGCTGTTTCCGCCACCGCCAGAAGCCTACCGATTGCTGCCATTTCGGCCATTGAACTTATATGCCTGGTAGCAGCAAGCATAGTCGGGTTTCCCTGGCTTCGCTCTTTGCTTGCCCAGCTCTTGCTCAGGTCAAAGACGAGGTCGGAACGGCTGGACTTGGGCCGAGCGGAATCCAAAGACTGGGCAGAGAAAAAAGATTCAACAGAAATCGTGCTCCGGCTCACTTACAGCTTTTACCATTTTCCTGAACATGCGGTGCCTTGACGCTCACCGTGGTCACGTCATGTGGTTACGTATGCGTCTGATGAGGAGTGCGTCAAGTCAGCCCTGTCGCGGTGGAACTTTCCTTGGCGCGAAAGCGTAGAGCGATTCTAAAACACCAGCTTGCAACTCGACCGCCCATTCTCGTGCTACCTCGTTCCTCCAACGACGCTCCTTTTCTCTGATCGGCCGCGACTCTATCGGTGCATGTCAGTCTTGTTGCTTTGCTATGGATCCGTCGCACCCGAGCCGAAGAAGCCCAATTCCTACGTCGTAAATGTGCTTTAGCGGGTCCTACGGGCGGGTGTTTGTACCTATCGTCCTATACGACTAGACGCCGAGCCGCCAGCCGACGCTATGAGCCAGCCGCAGAAGAAGACTGGAGGAGGATGGGGCTCGTTACTCTCAGGCGCAGTTGCTGGCTTGGAGTCGCGTCTGGACAACATCCTCGCCGACGAGGAGACGCGTGCTGCGGAAGAGGCCGCCCGTAGAGCACGACTTGGTATTCAGCAAAAATCCGCGGTCGCGAGCCTGAAAGCAGACGAGAAGGACTCTTTGTCTAGGGCGGCTAGCAAGAACAGGGTAAACGACAGGCTAGCTGAGAGGTTGGCTAAGGCGGCAAAGGGCGAAAGGAGTAATCGGCCCAGCAGCGAGTTACCCAGTCGCGCGGCAAGTCCTTTGCCCAGAACAAGCAAGGAAGTATCGAGCACAGGTGGCAGCGAAGAGAAACCCGACAATGCGGGGGCTGAAAGGACGTATGGTGAGCAGACCGCCGGCCTGGACGGCGTTGCTGGAAGTGCGAGAGGATCACATGAGGCTAGCATGCCTGCGTCAAACGACTCGAAGGTCTCCTCGAAACGACAGTCGCACGATGCTGCCCGACATTCAGTCGAGCTGTCACAGCAAGCCGAAGATGTGGCGGCAGCTACACCTCTGAAGAGGTCCCCTTCATTTCTTGAGTCCGAGGTCCAGCGCCTCACTCAGGTACAGGATGAAAACACGCGCAATTATCAAGAAGAGTTGCATGCACACCTCGAGCGTATAGACGCCTTGCAGGCCAAGCTTGAGTACTTGGCTAAGCAGACGGCAGCGGCAGCTCGTGAGGCTGCAGCAGCAGCTGATCCGGGAAGCCTACAGAAAAAGCTCGCTGAGATGGAGGAGCGTAATGCGCTGCTGTTGGAGGAAGGCAACAAACTCAGTAAGAATGAAATCAAGGCCAGAGGTGCCATTGCCAAGTTGCGATCTAGGGTCCAGGAAGAGGAGAAAGCAAGTGTAGAATTGAAAAGAAAGCTGGCAACATCTGAAGAAGAAAAGCTCGACCTCAGAGATCGCCTGAAGATTGTTGAAGAGAGAGAGAAGGCAGCTCAAGCTAAACTCAGCAGCTTGGCCAAGGTCGAGACTGAGCTTGACACAGTCAAACGAGATCGCGAGGACGCAAAAAAGGAGGTTGCGAACTTGAAAAAGCTGCTTGCTGAAGCAGAACAGAGGGCAGAGGACGCGGAGAAGAAGGCGCAGACAGACCAGCTGGAGGAGCAGATGCGAGTCATTGCCGAATTGAACGATGACCTGTCCAATGCCCGGCTGGAGAAGAAACTCGCAGAGGACAGGGCCAAGGCTGAGATAAAAATGCTAAGGGAAGACATGGAACGAAAAGAGGAGAAATCACGGCTTAACGAGATGGAGCTGCGCAACGAGATACACGTACGCTCATGTTTCCTTTTGAGTTAGCTGCACGTTCTCTACTAACATGTCGTGCAGAGTCTTGAGACCAAACTCGAGCTTTTTCGGAGCCGTACTGAAGAAGTTACCTCGTCTACTACCACGGATGGTCAAGCCAAATTACTACGGCAAGTGGAAACGCTACAGACTCAGTACTCTCTTGCTAGCGAGAACTGGCAAACCCTCGAAAGCACCCTTAACGCACGCATTGTTGCTCTAGAAAAGGAACGTGATGACATCGCCAGGCGAGAAGCAGACGTCCGTAAGAAAGCGCGCGAAGTCAATGCCAAAGCCAGAAGGCTCGAAGAAGATCTCGAGGGCGAGAAGGAGAGGGCAAGTGCGTTTGAAACAGATCTCAACGAGCAAAAGGCCGCGCTAGCGAAATTGCAGACGCGCTTGATGGCCGCAGAGAACGCACACGCCGAGGCCAAAGCTCAAGTGGAGCGTGAGCGTAAGGCTTGGGAAAAGGAGATGCAGAACAAGCTCGAGGAGGAGCGGATGCGATGGAGAGCCGTGCACAGTCAGCCCTTGGCTTCACCTAACCCTTCGTCTGCCTCAGCTTTCATGGCTGAGCAAAATAACTTCCTAGGAGTAGGATCTCCGACCACGTCGTACGGAAATCGTAAGGCCTCAGACTCGGGCCTTCTAGGATTGTACGGCAGACGAAGCAATGCGGCAAGTCGTACACATTCTTCGGATTTGCCATCTCTTCAAGCATCCGACCGACCAGCATCTCGACGAGCAATGCCTGTTGGCTTCCCAGGACAACCCGTCCGGACCAACACAGGCGACTCTTCACAGTTCAGCCTCGATGCTGCCTCGTCCCATGTCTCGGGCCTGGGTCTGAACGGTGGGGGCTTACCACGCAGCGCTACCGCCTCTGTAGCTCCGTCTATTGACATTGACGCCATCGACGACCGTCTCGAGCCCGATTCAACCTCATCACCACACAGAACAGTGAATGAACTGGTTTCACACAGCACCATGGCTGCGGGCCCTTCTGTACAACTGGTCGAACGAATGTCTGCGGCTGTCCGCCGCCTTGAGAGCGAAAAGGCGGCAAGCAAAGAAGAGCATGCCCGGTTGCAGGCTCAGCGTGACGAGGCGCGAGAGGAGGTCGTCGGGTTGATGCGCGAAATAGACATCCTAAAGAAACGCCAGGAGAAGATGGAAAGCCTGGAAAAGGAATTGGAAAATCTTAGAACGAGATACGAGGCAAGCCTCGAGATGCTAGGCGAGAAGAGCGAAGAAGTGGAGGAGTTGCGGGACGATCTGGAAGAGGTTAAGAAGATCTACAAAGAAGTGTTGCTTCAGACCGGTGGCGGCGCAGGCCCGAAGAGATGATGGCTCATTGACAAAGGCGGAGCGGTAGACCGATTTTATCGCTTATGTGTATTCATTACTGACATTAGATAAATTTATACATGTGTTTCATGCGCCTTTTGAGTTCATCGTGTAGCTCTACAACCGCAACCACCTAGTCATCGTACCGTATGCCTCTGACGAGATGAGAGCCTTTGTGCCGTCGCACTTTTCTTTCCTTGATCGCACGTCAGAACTACTTGTTTAGCCACGCAAGAACATATTCACGCTTATTGCATTGTGTTCGTGTCGTGAATCACTACACGCCCATCAAACGCTCTTGTATCGTTGGACCCGGAGAAGTCAGGTCAGAGAACTAGCCGTGGTCAAATTCGGAGTTCCGTCGTAGGAGCCATTTCTGTGCGCAACCTAGGGGGAAGGAACAACGATCAATGTTGAAAGCATGCAACAACCATCCGCGACTGGTTCATTCGATTTCCTCGATGACGGGGCGCATCGGAGCACCTGCGTCGCCGGCTTTCCTCATCCGCGTACTTGATTTCGACAAGACGTCCTCGATCTTGCTTTCGACAGACAAGCTCGCTTCGTGCTGACCGGCCGCAGCTATCAGCTTCATGCGGACGGCTTCCAAACCGTCGAGGACGGCTTTTGCGTGCCCGACCGTCAGGTCGTCCGGGTCTGTGTCAACGACCCAGTTCAGAGTTGGCTCGACTTTACTCCAATTTTCGCCGGAGATCAGTGACTGCGAGCCGTCGAACTCTCCTGACTCGAGACGGGAATCTATCCCTTTGAGCATGCCGAACATCGCCATGGCCGCGGCTCGCCGTAAGATGGCCTTAGCTGGCTCTAGCTCCAAGGAGAGTATGGACAAGTTGAGTTCAATCGTGTTCGCTATGATTTCTGTACCCTGGACGTCTTGGTTGCCTTGCTCCAAAACGCGTCCAAGAATGCTGAGACTTGAAGCTCGAAGTCTGACATCCTCTTCGTAGCCGGTGTCTTGCCATCCCTTGATGATAGAGTCTATGAAGTCCAAGTTTTGAAGACGTAACTTCTTCTCTGCCGATGACAAGTGCTCAGTCTCTTCGTCGTCTTCTTCAACGGGTAGTTCAGGCATATCGCCTCCCCATGCACGCTCGGCTTCCTTGCGTTTAAGACGTTGCAGTCGCTCTTCACGCTGACGTTCAAGGAGTTCTCTCTTTCGTTGACCTCGTCGACTTGCAACGACGAGTAGCGAATGAGCCAGAGTACGCATAATCTCTCCCCGCTCCACGAGCTTCACATCTGCTTCAGTAATTGCGTCGACAATTCCTGATAAAACTTCTCCGATGCGCAAACGCCCGTCGACGCCCGTTTGTTCTTCTATGTCCTGGAAAGAATCAGTCAATAAGCGACTGACATGCCCTAGGTTGCGTCGGGCAGCGAGTTGGACTGTGGTTTGAACAGCGGCAAGATAGACGAATTCTTCTTTCTCTGTACGTAGTACTTCGAGAAGTATTAATCCAATGGGAGGTACATCTAATGGTGCACCTGATTTAATCAGAGCCTGTAGAGCATACAGTGCAGAACGTCGAATCGGTGGTAACTCGCTAGCAATGTCGGTGGATATCAAGTCCAGCGTTCTCTGCACGTCAAGAGCCGCATCTGTGTCCGACCGTGTGACGGAACTAGCCGGGCGAGCGATTTTAGCTTCCAGCAGAGCTACGGTACTCCTGATCTGTGCATGCAGAGCATCGTCAAAGTTTTTTGTCGATAAAAGCGATTTTAAAAGCTCAAGAGTTTTTTCCACCTCGGAGTGAAGTCCGGGTTCCTCAACAGGGCTTGGACTTGCAGCAAAGGCATTGACGAGACTGAGGGAGACGAGTACGATGTCATCACTGTGTCGGTCTCTATCCTCTCGCATCGGTTTTGATGACTGAATAATATTTGACAAGGCTGTTAGCGATGGACTAGCGTGCTCACTGGTTCGACAATTCTCATCATTTAATTGTCTCTGGATTATTTGACGGACCAAATCCAAGATGCGATCTGGTGTTCGAACAAGACGATCAGAAAATGTTGTGACTAGGGATTCGCAGAGCCGGCCTCTGGCCATGAAGCCAAGTATGTCCTCATCCTTGGCTAGGTCTCTCTGCATTTCATCTGCGCTTCCAGCTCGCATTAAGATATGTTGAAAGAGCATGCCTAGGTCCGAATCACTTATCTTGCTCGAGGTGATTAGGGAACAGAGAGTCTGAGCCGCCTGGTCAATGCGTGCGAGTGCCCGCTCAATATCGTCATCAAAATCATGGAACTGAATGCCTTCTGTCCTCTTCCGGATAGATATACCACCGGAATCACCAGGTCCAAATACCCAGTCGTCCGAGCCATCGCACAAAAGATGGTCAGCCAGAAGGCATAGGTTTTGAGGCGTGCCCACGAGGTTGAAAAACTGACGCAGAACCGAGAATGCAGTTTTTGACGCCTCGGTAGCAGAGAAAGATAAGCCACGGTAGTTGGAGAGTGCCCAAAGAGGAAGAAGGAGCGGTCGAATCAATCGGCCAGTCAGCCCGGGACTCGGATGTGACAAAGCAAGTGCCGAAAGTCGTCGAAGACCAAGCTCCAGGTCTGACTGAGTTACTGTGTACTGACCTAAGTCTTCTCCTTTAATTGGAGCAGGCGACAACCTCTGACTGCTTGCATGGTTGGTGGGATTAATTGCTTGAAGAACAGGCTCTACAAAAAGTCTCCATCCATGGGTTCCTGGTGCACCAATGCTCCGTTTTCCAAGTATCCCATGTGAGATTATAAATGCCGCTACTTTCCGCATTGCGGGATCCTTGGGGTCATCAAGAAGTGAAAAGAGCTGTGGTGCTAACTGTGACAAGTACGACTCTATAGACATGTTTCGTGGCGCAGATGAAAGAAGTTTCGAGGCCTGCTGAAGAGCTTCCAGAGGAAGCAATGGGCCAGCGGATGGCTTTATGTCGTTTTCACCTGGCTGTTGTTGAGGTGCCCTGTGTGAAGCAGCAATGAACTCAATGGTGTTACGGACTCCATGTCGACGAAGTGGTAGAGCAGAAAGTTGCTCGGAAATCACTGAGCGAAACCATTCCACCTCCGAATTTCGAAGAAATGATGTGTACGATGCAAGAAGAGTGGAAGTCGGAAGCCTGTCGTTCCGCCGTAAGCTTGAGTATTATGTTGAATAATATCTTACCTTTCCAGATAGGACGAGAACGAAGAGGGAAACGCCGAGCGGCCCTGGCACCTCGCAAGCCATGCGTAGCCAGCAATAATATCATTCAAAGCGCGGTGCCGCAGCAAGGGCTCTATGCCGGTGTCAATGTCCTTGAGAATGGGAGCGAGAATATCAAGTAGCACTAGCTTTGAACAGTCACTGCCCCTCAAGCACGCATAGTGGGAATCGGGTTTGCTGTAGAAAAGTGATTTGCTTCGAAGGCGAGACAACTGTCCAACGCCGGTTGGAAGAGACGGATAGAGACCTTCAAGAAGCAAAAAATCCGTCAATTTGTACAATGCCATTAGCAGGGAAGAGTCGTAGGCATGACCCTGTGGTTGTGAAGTCTGTTCAAACTTGACCGCAGAATGCAAGGACTGCAGTAGTTCTCCCGCTCGGAGGAGGAACTTGACTCGCACTTCATCGTTCACAGATTCTGTTTTTGCGAGTTTCAGGATGATATGTCTATTGTCATTGCGATCCTTCAAAGCCGGAACAAAGAAAGATTCAGCAGTCTGAATAGCGCTCTCCGCGGTTGGTCTCTCAGCACCTTGCTTGTCCATAGACCTTGTGGTTTCTTTTGCCTGCTTGTGTTTTCATCCCACGCTCTTGTTTCAGTCTATGCGTTCGCTGAAGAGCACAACGAGCCAGGTTCTTTGTTGGTTGTGGGGTGTTCTTGCCTGAGGCCACAAGTTCCCAGCACGGTCTTGACACGTGCTCACGCGCTGACCATTTCAACAAGTCTTCCACGTCTCCACGAGCCGCTTTTCGTTCTGCTCCATCACCACAATCAACACCACGACTCAACCATGGTCTCCTTGGGCCATTAACAACGCGAGCTGGCTCTTCACGTCCATCCTCCGTGTCAAAGATGTCGTGTCGTCGGGGCTCCTCATCGTGCTCTCTCGCCCACGCTCTGGTTCTCGTCTCCAAAACACAAACCTTTGCAGTTCCCTCCTCGAAAGGTTCGCTAATTCTTGTCTTCTACTGACCATCGTCGGTGGGATGCCATTGGCTTCTCCTCTCACCTAGCCCATGCAAGTGTCGTGTTATATCGAGTTCTTTGCTTGAGCTTGATATTCGCGGTGCATTTCATCTCTCTCTCGTGACCTCGGTCGCAAGAGAGAAGCGAGAGGAGAAGATGAGGATTCGAACTTAACCCTAGCCCATTACCGGTCGCCTCGATACTCAGGCCTCAGCTTCGTGGTCTTGCAGTTGTTGTTTTCTCTGAGGGCTCTGTCTGCGACCAATGCAATCATAGGAAGGGAACTCTTCTGCTGGTTCGATTGGCAGCTGGCAGAGCCGAAGAGATAACAGTCGTCCGACATGTGAGATTAGTCATGCGCCATTTCGGTAAGATTCTCATATGAGGACGCGCGTCGATTGATCTTGCCGCACGTTTGACTGTTGATCTGCTTATGACAGCTTCGGCCGTTGTCGATATGATTGGACGGAGAGGTGCAGAATGAAGGATACTGAACCTTTAGGTTCGAGCGCTCAAGCGAGAATGGCTGCTGCACTTCTATGGCGGTTACGTCGTATCCTGCCAGCGATATCTTCGATGCCACAGGTTTCGTTCCATCTAACGCTGCCACCTCATGGTCATTGCGCAGAGATTTTGAGGATGTGGGATAGTCTAGGTCTGCTTGAGCATAACGTCTGTCGCCCACGACACTCAGCTTTCAAACAGACGGCATATGCACCCAGTCATAATGATTCTGGATTGAATTCAATATGAGATCTACGAACGAGATACTGGGGTACCCTATGCTCGTCAATTTTAGCACGTTGTCACGCTCTGCGGCATCCCTAGATGACACCACATCTAAAGACATCCTTGCGACGATGGTTATGATGAACGTAATGTTGCATCGGAAGTTGCGGCCAAATCATGGTGGATGTATGCTGTCCTACCGGTGTAGCGCAGTCCCTGATGCATCTTTCCGACGCGCTTGATCCTTAAACAAGCGGATCAATGCGTTTCTGCACCCACCTCTTCACAGTCATGTCCAATGACCAAGCCAGCTTTACAAGTCTCACGACTTAAGCTGCCGCTCTCGGTGTCTGGATCAGCCACGTTAATCATCTCCACCCAAGTGTAGCCTTTGGTGTCGATTGATGAGCGCCGGAAAACCGTCCACTCACACTTCCTGACAGTGTTTTGGGGACACCCTTCTTCTACGGAAGATGACTGCGGTTTTTTGCTGATGTACTTTGTCCGCTTATTGCCGGGCATTGCCCCAAGCAGTGTTGCCGGAAACAAAGACGAGTCTGTTGGAGGACTGCATTCACAACAGAGATATCATGCCGAAGAAATGGTCGAGAAGCAGGAGCGAGTGAACCTCGATGATACGACAGAGGTGCGGATACGGCTTGAGGAAACCTTCGCGTTTTCAAGGGACTTTGTTTGTCGTTGATTGATGTCAAGTCTGAAATTCCAGCGCTTCTGTGGCGGACCCGGCCTGAAGACCACAGAATATCGGAGGAAATGCGGCTGAGATCAGGCCTTGGATGTGACCTTTGATATCTGCCTTCTAGCGTTGCAAGATTCTTGTAGACTCTCGCCACGAATCAACTATTGCAGGACCTCTTCGAGCGTCAAAGCCCAGGCTTGTCTGCGAAAGTCGCGTTCGAGCGTAAAGTTTACAGAACAAAGCACCTAGTGGTTAGAATTCAGTTTGGCGTATTCAATGGCGAAAGCGAGCTCTTTTGGCAGATCTTCCTACTGTGTCAATTGGGTCGAGAAGGGCCGACAGCGGCAAAGGATGGACAGGGTTGGCTATGGTGGGTTGTCTTCACGCCGTCTTTGGGGACGGCGTCTTACTTTTTCTTATAAGTTTTCCTATCCCCGCCCTAACTGGTACATGACTAACTACTGGCTAAGATTGGCAATTCTGTCGTTTCATACCATTTGGCTCTTCACCTGTAAGTTGAAATCTCGGTTCGTTATTCATCCTTGAGTTAAGATGAAAACCTTTTCATTGTCATCCTTAGTCTAAAAGTTGGCATGGCACATACCTGCGCGGTAGGGCTCCTTGCGAATCCACGGCAGTTGCTGTGTTGAACTGCTGTCGAATCAATCTTCTCTCTGAGTCATATATAATCTTAGTTTCTGTGCTTCATCATTGATACAGAAGCTTTATTAATACCATGCTTGCAGGCTCTCTCAACTCGTTCTAAGCCATGAAGGAAATGAAGATCGATGCACGGACCAATATGATAGTGGACTTGCCACAGCGAAGGTACAGCTGGAAGTTTCACGGTAGCTGCCGGCGTGGTAAACCCTACCGCGGTACAAACTCAGGCTAGACCAATGAAAAAACACAATCTACAAACAGATCATTCTATGTTGATTGCTTTATGTTGGTGAAAATATGCTTTCGTGATAGTTTGTTGTCTGCGCATATGACCTTCCGTTAGCAATCACTTACATCTTGGCAATTAAGCCTTACCGCCTTTCCAAACCCAACTTCGCATGATAGCTCTTAAACACATTATGTTTATCGTTGACTTGGCCGCAGTGTCAAAGACACTTTTCTATGTGGCTCATAGTCTAAAGGTGCTTCCTTGCATTTCTTCCAGTTTTCGCTCAGGCACACGGCGCTGCACCACTAGGGTTGAACTCGTCTATGAAACATGGAGGGCAGACTTGCTGCAGTTGAACGACAGACTTTGATTTTTTTTTTGGCTCGCCATCCTCATGTTCATGATACTCCTTCATATCTCCATGAACGCAAAACTGATCCTAGCCGTGGTGATCCGAACGAGCGACGCCGAGCATTGACACGCGGGAATTAAATTAACCTAGTTACCATTGAGGTTCAGATTTATTGGCTGTTCTCCGCCTTCGACACAAAGTTCTCGCTACTGCGAACTTTTTCACTTGGTAAAATTGGTGGACTTGATTTATTTAAGTTTGAAAGCTGTGTCCTGGTTGTGTAGATGGGGTGGGAACTGGGATAAAAAGTCAATGACATCAATCGGACGATAGATCTCTAAGTCATGTAATTAGCCCATGGGATTAGTCCGACCTTGGCTGGGTGGGTTTTGGAGCCAAGTGCTGATGCTCCACGAAGTCTTGACGCAGAGGAATCCAACTAGCTCCACCTGGTAGCTTTCCTTGGACGTACAAAGGAGTTTTCTGCTAAAAATCTATGACGATGAGTTTCCTACCTCGAGAAGATCGGTCACCGGTTTTACTGGAGTTAAAAATAGGAATCTAATTTCACGCGAATGTATATTTCATACCCAAATGCTTTCCCGATTTTTTGCTCCTGTGAAAATCGCTACTTTTTGTGGTCGCAAACAAAAGTTTCGAAATGGAAGGGCAAGCGGCGCACTTCAATGAGAATATGTTCTACGGATGTGTTCGCGATTCAACATTTGGTGCGATAGTTCGCATGATAACGCGCGGAACTGTTTTCAAATTTCTGGATGAGCGCGATCCGGACATGTGGAAGACGCTTATAGACCGGAAAATATCTAAAGATACGATCCATCTCGGTACTGCTAATCCGAGTAGCGGCAACCGAGATCTGGAGCGCGTACGAGCGGTTGGTGATGGCCAAAATGATGCTTTCTCTGAGGATAAAGCAAATTCAGGAAGCCGTTCGTCAAGACGCTCTTCAAAGTCAAGTGTTGAGAGAGGGGGGGAGTGGTGCGAACAAGTCTCGGGTATCAAAATCGATCCTGAAAAGGGAAGAGATGGATACCTAGTTGAATATCTTCCCGATGATCCTGAGGAAAGTTTTACTTCGCCCTTTAGTCCACTGCAGCTACCCGGTAGAACTAACTTCTGCATGTAGAATCCGATCAATTGGTCTACTGGCAAAAAGATATTCGTGACGTTTCTCATCTGCTTTCTGACAACGAGTGTCTACATTGGCTCCGCGATTTACTCAGCCGGCATACCAGACTTCATGGTACAGTTCGGCGTATCTCAGGTCGCCGCTACCTTGGGATTGACTCTTTTCGTCGCTGGTTACGGACTGGGTCCAATGCTGTGGTCGCCGATGTCTGAAGTTCCTCAGGTTGGTCGCAACCCTATCTACATCGGCACGCTCTTCGTCTTTGTGTTTTTGCAGTTTGCTGTCATTTACGCCACCAATTTCGGCATGTTCCTCGCGTTTCGGTTCTTAACAGGATTCTTCGGTTCCCCAGTCCTCGCGACAGGTGGTGCGACTTTGGCGGACATGTATGCACCTAAGCAACGCGCGTATGCTATGTCAATCTGGGGTATAGCTGCTGTTTGCGGTCCCACTATGGGCCCTCTCGTTGGTGGATTTGCCGCTCAAGCCAAGGGTTGGACATGGACGATCTGGGAGTTGTTTTGGTTGTCCGGATTTGCGCTCGTTGTGTTGTTTTTTCTTTTACCAGAAACGAGTGCAAATAACATCCTGTACCGTCGAACAAAGCGATTGCGCAAAAGTCTGCGCAACGACAAATTGGTTTGCCAACCGGAACTGATGAGCCAGGATATGGCCGCAAAGGATATAGTTATGATGATTCTTGTCCGCCCCATCACCCTCAACTTTTTAGAGCCTATGGTCTTCCTGCTCAATTTATATATTGCGCTCATATATGGGCTGTTGTACATATGGTTTGAATCTTTCCCTATTGTGTTCGGTAGGTTGTGGATATGCCTCCAGTTGATATTGCTGACAAATATAGTTGAGATTTATGGTTTCAACCTTGGTGAGGAGGGTCTCGCATTCCTTGGTATCCTCCTTGGCGCTATCATAGTTATTGTTCCATTTTTCTGGTACTTGAAAAAGTATGTCGAGCCACGTGTTGGCCTAGATGGAAGCATCAAACCCGAGGACAGACTGCCAGCTGCCTGTGTGGGAGCTTTTGCGATTCCAATCTGTTTGTTCTGGTTTGGTTGGGCCTCTAGACCAGATGTGCACTGGATTGTGAGTGACTTCGCTTGCTGGTGTCTTAACGTGTCTGCTCACCCTGTACCTAGGTCCCCATTATCGGATCGAGCTGGTTTTCTATAGGCACCTTCTTGCTCTTCAATTCTGTACTCAACTATCTGCCAGATGCATATCCTGAGTATGCTGCATCGGTTCTTGCTGGAAATGATCTTTTCAGGAGCAGCTTTGGTGCCGGTTTTCCTCTGTTTGCAAGCGCAATGTACCGTAATCTTGGAGTAGCCTGGGCAAGTTCCACGCTAGCTTTCCTCAGTATTACATTCATTCCCATTCCGTTCGTATTGCTAAAAGTAAGTGTTTGGTCGCATACATTAGGCTGAGTTTGTTAATATCTCTACAGTTTGGGGAAACCTTGAGGAAGAACCATAGTAAGCACGCGAGAAAAGATATTTAAAAGACATGACAGATTCCAGAAACAGAACGAAAATTATGATATAGAGATAGATATTCATGCATAGAGGTGGGAGATGTTTCTTGTAAGGAATACTAGCCATAGCTATTTACATAACTTAGAATAAACTCACACGTTGCGCATATTGTTCTTGTTTTTCGAACCCAATTCAATATGTAGCGGCTAGTCGCTTCATCATCCAATCACCAGGCAGTGTTGGAGCATACTTCTGTGGGCGTGTGTCTGTCACACAGTTCTGAATCACTTCTACGAGTTTCTCGTGGTCAGGGTGAGCAAAGAACTTATTCAGGCGTTAGAAAATTGCGCGCATGCGGACACTCGAAAGGAAATACGTACGGCAATGGAATATCTCGCGGAGTAGCATCCGTCCTCTGTAGTTGGCGCGTTTGGTGGGCTGACAACTCTGTGGTGTGTAGACTTGATCACATCGTTTGTCCATATCTGCAACATGTCTCCAGCGTTTACAACGATGGCACCCTCCTTTGGTGGAACGTCGAGCCACGAGCCATCGGGGTTTTTCACTTGCAAACCCCCACTCATGTCTTGGAAGAGCAGCGTCACGGTGCCGTAGTCGGTATGGCTGCCTGCTCGCACGGCTGGAGCCTTGTCTAACACAGCCTTCGGCACCGTGGGATAATGCAGCAATCGAAGGCAGTGGTCACCTCCGGACACATATGGCTTGAAAAATCCAGGCTCTAATCCTAAGCCTTCTGCTATAGCACTAAGTATTTGGAGGTGCAGATCATCGCACTGCTCGTAAAAGCTACTAACAGCTTTTCCAAATCCTGGTAGAGAGTCGTCTGGGTAGTGGTTCTGCCACGGCTTTTTGGGATACCGTGGCCCTGCGTCTGACCCAATCTCGAGAGATTCCTTCATATCTGGCACCATCGCCCTGAGCTGCTCGATAGCATTTTCATCTTTGGAGTCAAGATCAAGATTGGTGACTTTTTCTTTTCCCATACCAGAGTAGCCCCGGTTGGCAGCAAAGTTCGTGTTTGGATGCTTCGACTTAATTTCGAGAGGCAAGTCAAAGAACTTGGCGCTCCAGTCGAATGCACTGGAGGGACTAAGGCCGCTATTTTCGAGGTATAGAAACCCTGAGCTCGTGAAGCCTTTCATGATGGCTTCTACGCATGCTTTTCGCTCTTCCGCCGTTCCTGATAGATATTTCGAAAAATCAATAAGCGGTATTTGGAAAGCATTTGAATCCTTAAGTTGAATGAGTATACACGAAGGGCCATTGGACAGACAGTTCCTACTACTGGTCTCTTTTGGGCACTTACTGTCGTCATCTTGAATTCTTGTAGGTATTTCTGGGTGGGAAAGAATCTCTCAACGTTCAAACATAGATTGCGAAGACAGTGATTACGATAGCTATTTATTAAAAGTACTACAGGGAAGTAATCTTAATATGAACGCATGCAGGTGATAGGTTGCGGATATGTCCGATACTTATCGCGAATCAATCCAGCGAATGTGGAGGCGCCACAGGTACGGAATGATCGGACTCCGCGGTATCCTAGGGCCGAAGCCGCTATCCTTCGAAGTTCAAGTGGAGTTGTGCGTCTGGCATATACAGAAGCATTGAAAAAGAGCTTTGCGTAAAACCAGACGAGCTTCGCGTAAAACCAGACGAGCTTCGCTGGATACATGTATCCACCCGGTCGGTAGATAGTACCAGTTCGGGAAACATTACATCCCGACCAAACCGCAGCCACAATGCATGGAAATGCGGTCAAATCGATTCGTTTATTCCATGCCTTCCATAAGCTCTGTTTTATCCAAGATCATGCCCCGAAGACCACACCATTCTCTTAGATTCTCCCACTCGATTCCCTGCTCCTCGCCTCGCCTCTCGCCTTTGAAACCCCAAGCCAGAGCCACTTTATCTACGGCAGCTCTCTCTTCCTCCCTCAACCAACGTTCTCGTAGCGGTACGCCGGGTGCCCATGTTACCCTTTCCATGTGGTCGTTGGTGGTTGTGATGACAACGAAGCCGAGAGTGGATACGCCTGCAACATATGTTACCATACCCACAGTGGCATAGGCCACGAGCTCGGAAGGGTTCGCAATTGGGAAGTATGCAGGAAGCTGTGATGCCAAGATGCCAGCTGCTGCTGGCGTCAACGCGATGCCACCAATTGCAGGAAAGGCTTTGGTGATGAACTTGTGCCGTTGAAAGGCCTTCGTAGCGTATGAAGTGTCAATTATCGCGATGGCAAGTTCAAGGTCCTTCTTTTCGATTGCAGCCTGCAGAGCAGAATCTGCCGCGTCCTTGGGAATTGCTTGTTTATGCGACTGCGGATTAGGTGTCGAGTATTTGGTTGGGTTAGTGTTCGGTGTGGGAATGGGCTTGTTAGAGTATAGGTGAAAAATTTCCGGGAATGTTTCTGGTCTTTTGAGCAGCGACTGGACTTTTACGTAGCTCGAAAGAACTTCTGGAGTCACAAAAACAGTGGGGAATGTGATGATCTTGTAGGCAAGGTTGGAGAGCAAGTCCATCGAGATGGAGATGGACATGGGATGTGCGGCTTTCGAATTCTTGGATCTGTCCAACGACAGCAGTCCATCTGTTGCATCTCCCTCTTGTGATATCTGCAATGGCCCCTCTTTCTTCTTTCGTTTACCAGCCAGCTCTGACAACGGCACGGCACTCTTCGTTGGTGCTCGCGTCAACTGCGCGGCGGCGAACTCCACGACCTTCATTGCCTCGATCACAACAGCATCATCAGGTACACCCTTGGCCTGCAGCACCTTATCGCCAAATGCTTGGGCTTTTTTGACAAGAGCGGCGTTGTCGGCGGAGAATATGGTCCAGTCATTTTCCCAGAAGCTTTTTTCATTCTTGCTCTTAGGCGTGTTTGCGCTTGCTGCCGTTGCGACCTTCTTGACTGTCGGTTTCTGCGAAGAACTTGACGCCAGTCTCGGAGCTGCTGAGCTCGCTGCCCGCCACTGACTTCCGATGTTTACTCTTTCATGTGTCGGCGCCGGAGGGAGACCGCGGCCGTTTCGTCGTGTTACTGCTTGCGTAGGCGCAGCTGTGAACGCGACACTGTGTATGAACCGTGCCGGCCCATTCGATAATCGCAATGAAGATGTGCAATGCTTGCATATATAGTGCGAGTGCCGAGCCAATGGATCCAAGGTTGGTCGCGTTGTGCTCGCCATACTTTTCCTTCTGTAAGGTGTATTTGCGGCGTCGGAGAATCGAGGAGGGTTTGGTGGCTTTGTAGCCTTGTTTGGCATTCGTCACTCCAGCCCAACATGGACTACACCAAACTTTGATCACGTCTGTTAACCAGCTCCAGGAATACGCTCATAGCACTGTGGAACACTCTTCTTGCATTTTCTCACACGCTCTCGCCCAGATTTCTTCCTTTTGCAGACTTCTGCGTGTCCCTCTGGTGCCGTGAGCTAACCCCATTCCGCCGTCAGCACGTGCGACCAACCTGCTCTGAGATCGACAGACTGCCTGGCGACGGCGTTCCGACCATAATCCGCCTTATATCACTCTGAGGTCGTTATACTACCAACATTCGGGAATGCCTGGCCCTCCACCGCCTCCTCCGCTGCCTGGAATGGGCCGGGGAGCCGGCGGTCCTCCCCCTCCACCTCCTCCACCACCAGGAGGCTTGCCATCCAAAAAGCAGACCCAAGGCGCAGGAAGAGTAAGCTAAGGCCCATACATCTACTTCCTACTTGCCTTTTCTCTTCACGCTCGCTGACCTACCGTACTTCATAGGGTGCACTTCTCAGCAGTATTGAATCAGGAACACGACTCAGAAAGGTCACCCAGATCAATGATAGATCTGCTCCAATACTGGAAAAGAAAACGAGCACGGTTGCGCCAGTCATGGGAGCACCTCCAGTTCCAGGAATGAGTAAACGCCCTTCACCCGGCGTTCCTGGCGGAGCACCTCCACCGCCTCCAGGCAGTCTTGCTCCGCCTGCGCCGAATCGAGCAAGAAGCAACAGTGACAGCGGAGATACGGGTGCTGGAGGCGGACCTCCACAGCTGGCAGGGCTGCTCGCAGGAGGTATACCAAAGCTACGGAAAACAGGCGGAGCAGGGGTTGACACGGGAGCTGATAGAAGCTCACCGTACATGTCAGATCCGGAATCAACACGAAGCTCTGCTCCACGTCCGCCTATAGCGACGCCACCACGTCCTCCTGCTGCAGCACCTCCACGCGTTCCTGGAGCACCGCCTCCGTTGCCTCCTGGTACAGCACCTTCTGCACCCGTCGTACCCTCAGTAGCAAGTCTGAGAGGCAATTTGCGAGGCGCGTCTGTATCCATGGTTGATGTTTCATCGAAACCCAAGCCGCCCCCCCCCGGCAAAAAGCCCCCTTTACCGACATCTCGAAAACCTTCAGGACTTGCTCCTCCACCCCCTCCGCCGGCAAGTTCAGCACCTGCACCCCCTCCTGCCCCCCCTTCGGCGCCCCCTCTTCCTCCCTCGGCACCTCCTGTTCCAGGATCCGCAGCTCCTCCGCCGCCCTCTCGGTCGACACCACCACCACCTCCTCCGAGCTTGCCACCTAGCACTTCAAATGGCGCGAACAGCTTGGCAGCGCAAGCAGCGCGAAACGCATTTAACCGCTCTGCATCCACTTCAACTCCTTCAGTACCCCCGCCACCTCCACCTCCTCCTGCTTCTGCTCCGAACCCGCCTGCTCTTTCATCGCGCATACAAAATGTCCAAGACGACCAGGACGAATATGATCCGTATAACTACTCGAAGCCGGCTCCATCACCGCCTTCCTCGGCACCCAGGGCTCCTCCCGCCCCCTCATTACCTCCTCCGCGACCCTCTTCTCAAGCGCCTAGTACCCCAGCTCAGCCTCCTCCCCCGCCTCCGCCTCCTGAGGCGCCGCTATCGCGGAACACGAGCTCAAGCACCAACAAGAACCTTGATGTCTCATCAGTGCCTCGGTCGCAATCCGGAGTGCAGCAGGCGGAGGGAGCAGCGACAGCAAAGGTGGCTTCTAATCTACTTCAAACCAACGCCTCATCCTATACTCTCACAAACGGAGGGAACAGAGACAGTCGTGCAGGCTCTCTTGCATCGCCTCCACCCACTCGTAGCCCGGGCATCATAAGGATTCAAGACGCAAGGTGGAAATTCCAGGATGATTCGGCGCTACCCAAGCCGCGTGACTTCCGCGGCGTTCAGAAGAGGTACCGTGCCGGACGTGTGAGCAGCGTGCCATTGGACTTGAGTGCCTACCAATGAGGCACGGGTCTGCCATGACCATTGTCGTCTCTCTTTAGTTAAGGAAAATGAAAAGATTTGAGTTCGACAATGCTAGTTTCGACTGGAATCTCAATGTAGAAATCTTCTTTCTCCCATTAATCGCGCGTGTCTTTTTTCCTGAATGATGACGAAGATATAGAGTAGACATTCGATCCTGTCTTTTCGCACTTCGCGTTTATGAAGTCTTATCGATGGGGCGTATTAGATACTTGCAATTTTCTGACGACGTCTGCCCTGTCTTACTGCCTCGAGTTGCTGCACCTGCTCCAATTCGTCAATCCGTCCAAATAAAAATTCGATTTCATCCACGCTTCAGGTCACTGTTCTTTCACTGCAGGGAGAGTGACGAGCTTGCATTCCTTCCCTAAAAATACTGACAACCGTATTTGGTCCAGTGTTTCTGCATTTATCAACGCCGAGTTCGTTTTTGTCAGCTGCATGTGGCTGCCTTCTAATTACCAATCTAGTCGCTCACTGAGTCCTGGCTTGAAATTGACAAGACAAAGATTGGGATCTGTGGTTCTCAAAGTATTTCCCATATCTGACATGCTGCTCAATTTCCATCTGTTCGCATGAGGCGTGCGTGTCCAATCCAACATAATCTTCGGCGTAAATGGCAGAGGCACGGCCGTTACTTGTATTCTAAGCTAGTTTTGAAAGCTCATGCTCTCCGTTACGGCTTCTACATGCATTCTACGAAGGGACATATATCGACATTTCGAAGCGGGGAAGTCCTCAAGAGACCGGAAGTTCAGTTGGTGTATAGTATATCGTTTGTCCAAAGATTTGCGTCATCAACAAATAAGAATATGCATACACTGAACATTTGCAGTTCAAACTCCAATTGATTATTTCAGATTCATTGCTTTAAGATCTATGCCTTCTCGTTCAGCGCTTTGGATGATAAAATCTCGAATCTTGGCATCAGGTGCGAGTAATAACGCAACATGTCCTTCTCGATCTTCTTTACTTGGGTCTGCTCCTGCTTTGAGTAATGCCACGGCGGCATCGCCGTGACCTTCGGATATTGCTGTTGGATCGCAAATTAATGTTGATTGTTCTATAACATCCGTTTCTCAATGAAATCAGGGAGATGCGCTTACCATGATGCAAAGCAGTCATCCCATCAATGTCAGTTGCATTGATTGGGCTTTGATTCTCTAGCAAGAGCTTGATCATGGGCACAGAGCCAACTGCCGCAGCACGATGCAGTGGAAGCTGTTGGCGCTTATCCTTTTTCCGCGTCGTGGCTTTGCTCGCCATGAGCTTACGAGCAACATCTAGGTTGTTTTTCGACGCTGTAAAATGAAGAGCCGTCTGCATTGTGAATTAGTGAAATGGCTTTGAGCTTATCTGCATAGATGTTCCGCAAGCGAACCTGACCGTTGCTATCTGATCCACAGTTAGCAAGGTCCTGTCAAGAAATTTTCGAGTAGCAGCAGCACTTGACACATTCACATCCGCCCCTTTTGAGATCAAAAGATCGACAAGAGCCTCGCCATCCTTTACGCTTGCTGCCATCATCAACGGCGTCCAGCCCATTCCATCCTAGATCGCTCAGTACAAATGGTCACAGGGCTCGGGAACTTTGTCTTTAGCCGTACTTGAGCATCTGGATCGAAACTCTTGGATTGCACGAGGAGTTGCACTATTGGAAAATGGTTATATGAGACAGCCCAGTGAATGGGAAGCCGCTCATCTTCATCTCGGAGGTTCGCAAGCTTTGGATTTGCCTTTTAGTCTTACTTAGTCCGCGTTCTCCACGGTGCCAGATGTTGGAGAAGTATGCTCACAGCCAAGAGCTGTTCCACAACGGCCACTACAGTGTGTGAGAGTGGTACAGAACAGGAATAGGAGGACTTACGCTTGCCATCTCGAGCAGCTTCATGGATGGCAAATTTTTCAGGAGTGCTAGCCATCATTTAGAATCGGTTTTGAACAATCCGTTATTGATCTTTCGCGGCAATATTCCACGAAGATTCCAGATTCGGACCACTCATCACTCGCCTGTCTTGAGCTTACTGGGTGTTCTGAAAAATACTGCCTTGCTCTCTAGAATACGTAGCGTTCCGTTAATGAGTTCCACGCTAAAATTAAGCCGAGGCCTACTTTGGCTAAGCGGTTATCAGACTCCAGGTTGTGTGCGCATGCATTCAAATACTCTTCGCCATTCCTATACTTCATTCACTCAGCCATCCACCTTCGCTCTCAACCCAGTAGTTTCTTCCAGCTCATCTGTATGCTTTGATGCGACCCTTCCGCACAAGGCTCCTCGACCTTGCGCATTGTCCTGCTAGAGAATGGTCCGTCCACTCATTCCGTAGGCAATGGTACGAGAAGCAGACTCCTATCAAATACCGCTTCCGCGAGTTCAAACGGTTAAACCCCCTTCCAGCACAGGAAATATGGGTCACTCCATCTCCACAAAGTGACTACGCTGGCTGCGTTGCTCTTAATGACGAGTACCTACGTCAGTACAAGGACACAATTGTTCCGATTGAGCGGACTGTATGGGGACAAGACGCTCTTAAATGGCGCGTCAAAGGTTTTGAGAGATTCGAAGCACCGCTAGAGTTTTTCCTCGACTGGACAGCCAGAAAGCTCGCTGACCCCGACACGTTTTCACCTAACGAAACCCTTTACATCGCCCAATGTTCCATATCCAGCTTACCTCACGGATTACAAGAAGCCCTCCCCCCGCCCTTATACTGTACCAAATGCTCCTACGAAAACGGCAATGATGATGATTATGATGGCAAGAAACGCCACCTACATGTGACGCAAGCCGCCGAGTTTAGCCCTGATAATGGCGTCGAAAGTAGTAGCATTTGGGTGGGGGTTCCACCTGTTGAGACACCATTGCACAAGGACCCGCATTCCAACTTTTTAGTACAACTTGCGGGCTTCAAAGCAGTAAGATTAATTAGACGTGGCGATGGCGAACTCATGCTCGCGTATGCAAAACGCGAGGTCCAGATGAAGTGTCAACAGCTGGGGCCTGTGAGCATGAGCATGAGAGGAGAGGAGATGATGATAGGACCCGAACGAGACCTCATGAGCAACTTGGTTTGGGGGATCCCCGATGCGAGACACTTCAATCAAGTCAACGAGGTGCTTGAGGACAACCAGGATTCGCAGGGAATCTCGCATGTCAATTGGTTTGGACGCTCGCCCGTAGAGGACGAACAGAGCAACGACAATGAGTCCATGGATGTAGCTCTGTTACATGGTAAAGACAGCGCCCTTGGTCTTCCTGAAATCGAGGTATACCACGCGACCCTTGCGCCAGGTGATGCAGTGTTCATCCCTAAGGGTTGGTATCACTCTCTTCGTAGCATTGGGTCTCACAAGAATGGTATCAATCTCTCCGCAAACTGGTGGTTTATCTTGGAATGAAAGGCTACAATCTGCGCAATGACCTTACAGCTGACTTGCTGCAGCGCTAAGACAATGAATTGATACATTGTCGGTGTTACCAGAGAGGGCTAAGTGGGCTAGAGTACCGACTGCTTTATATTGGACGACCGCACACGTGTCTCTCAATGGAGTACAGCTGTTGTTATTCGCTATCTTTTTAAGCTGTCTCCAATACTTGTGGGTCTTCTGTGTGACTTGATACATAGTCCTGCGATCTGATCAATCCGGAATTCAAAAGCCCTCTGCTGTAGTCGCTCATGATACTATATTCAATCAAATTCAGTAATTCTGCTCTTTGAAGGCAGCAATTGCAACTCATCTAGTCTGACCAGGACCGAAGAGCAGGCTGAGCAGCTGAAGAAGGTTTCGCGAAGTCACGCCTTGAGAAGTCTCGGTTGCTCTCAAATACTGAGAATATTCCGCATAATATTATTTCATGTTGATTGTTGAATATACCAAGTCTCTGTTCTAGACTTTGCTTTTCCAAAGATCTCAAGTCTGACCGCCCTTCGTGGATCACACATGGAATACTAGTAGTCGCATACATCGCCACATTCTCCATTTTAGCCTTTACCATGCAACATCTACTTGACAGCTGAAGGTACCTCAGAAGCTTCCTCTACTGCCTCAAATATGGCTTGAAGAGAAGGTCAATAGTTGGCTTACTAAGATCAGAAGCTAGGAAATTGTGCGAACATGTCCCTTTATATTGCACCATACAATCATGAGGATCTTGATCTTGCAGCATCAGTTACTGAAAAAAAAAAACTTGAATCATAAGCTGATTATGAATTCCAGTCATATCCCTTGCAAGGCATCTAGATTTGCAAAACTTTACATAATTTACCATCAGTTGCTGGCTGGAATAAAAGCAACATAAATACTGTCAGCCGGTGCTAGAACGATATCTGTCTTCCATCTTGGTGGCGCTGCCATTCTGTTCTCGACCCTCTCATATTTTTGCAGAATCCGTATCACAGTGTAGCCCATTTCTGTTAAAGCGAACTGTTGCCCTACGCAAAGGCGAGGACCACCATTGAATGGAATATATCTAACAATTTTGTCAGTTTTTTGGGTTTCGGTGATAATTAACATAAATGCAGCATATGAAAAGGAAAATTGCAACCAATGCTTAAGTATAAAATTTTCCAAATAAGCCCATAATATTGTAAATATGACCAAAGAACATTGCAATAACACTTACGTCCAATGTTTAGGGGACCAGTTCTCCCAACGTTCAGGAGCAAACTTATCAATCGGGGGGAATCCGGATGAAACTGGTGGATAGAGATCCTCACGACGTTGCATGACGAGAGTAGAGTACGCGACTTGAGTGTCTTTGAGAACACCAACTGGAGACATTCCATCCTTTCCTCCACCTCGAGGAAGTGTTGTATCTTTAAGAGCGACACGAACATTGAATGGGACAACTGGATAGAGCCTTAGTGTCTCATTTAGGCAGTACTAAAAACTTTGAATTAGCTTCTAAAAGTTTTTGCAATATATGTTCATTATTTATAGGGACTTACTTGCAAGTACTTCATTGACTTTAAGTTCTCATATGTCGGGCATGCATCCAATCCAATAATTGTAAGAATTTCCCGACGTAGCTTGTCCACAATATCTGGCTGCAAAGAAAGTTCATAGAACAGCCAAGAGAGTGTGCAAGCTGTTGTATCTCGTCCTGCTAAGAGCACGGCAATAATCTGATCTCTAAGAATGGAGCGGTCTTTCGTATATCCTGCCAAAGCATGAAGAAAAGAGTATTCACTTCTCGTGGTCTTTTCCAGTTCTTCTGGACTTAGTTGCAACGCCGCATCAATGTACTGGTCACAGAGTGAGTTGATAATCTTCATGTCCTTCCTGAACTGCCACTTTGGAATGATCCACGGCATACCCCCTGTACGGGCAATAATGGATTGATGCCGCTGCGCATTATTAAAGGCATCTGCGAAATCTGACTGATTCTTATGTAGACTCTCCACACTTTTTCCAAGTAGAAAGTCGGTTGAAGCATCCAATGTGAACCGGAAGAATAAATCTGAAGCATCAACTGTTGTATCAAGAGCTGTGCCACTGCCACCTAGCATAGGAATGAGGATCTGGCAGTGTTTTTCAAACAGTTTTATATCGCTAAGTCGATCCTTGACAAATTGGGGTCGAATCAGCTGTCTTGAGTCTTGCCATTTCTGGCCATCTGTGGCGAAGATAGAGTCGCCTAGAAATTCATGCCAATCTTTATTGAATCTTTCCCCTTTTCCATAGTCCTGAAACTGTGTCGCAAGGATTGCCTTAATATTGTCGACGTCAGCTGTCAAAATAAGGCGTTGGTTTGCTAAGTATGATTCAAGAGTATAGGGGTTCTCTTTATGGCCCCATGTCAAGAACGACTCTCTCCAGAATTGATAGGCTGTGTTCTTAAGTGTAGTTGCAATAGCCTGATAGACAAGATCCAGCCCTAGTGGCAAGTAGGTCCAACGATATGCTGCATGACCTCCAAGCTTGCGAACCTTTACCTCTTTTAGAAGGAAGGAAGCATAAGAGTAGACGAAGAATGCTCCAATTCCGAGAACAGCAACTTTCTTCGGCGTGAAGTTGCTGATACTCTCAACTTGAATAGCATGTGTTAGAACCATGACCTAAAATCTGTACTTTGAAGTTTTTCGATTGAGGATATAAGTAACAGGACTTGATAATTTAATATTAGGAAGTGAGTATATAAATGGAGGGGATAAGACTCAATAGGCTACTTTTATACTATAAAGATTCGATGTTCATCAAAGCTGCCTAAACAAAAGTATAGCTATATATGATTCATCAGCATTGTGCATGAATCATGAAGCATATGCCGGAATTGAAGATCAGTCAACTTTCACTTGTCATAATATCAAGGGTGTCAAACATAGTTGAGTCAAAAAAAAATTCACTCATATTCCAAATAGCATAGCATATACTTCTCATAAGTTTCACTTGTACAGCATATACATATCTCTTAATTGATATCAATATATATGAAACAGCTAAAATCGTAAATCTGCAGGAAAAATTAACGGAGTCAACATTTCTGATCTTTCCTTTAAGATTTGGGTGCTTGTTGAGCTAGCAATGTAAATCCTCACTCTGCTGACAGTATAGAAAAACTATGAGTATTATATAAATAAAATAGGTTCTAAATAAAAATAATATGGGGTATATCTTATAATAAAGACTATTAAATATACTTCTTTAATATATATTATATAGATAGCAAAACAGCCAAAATAGCTCATGGACCAGAAATGATTGTTGACTCAACCACGCTGACTTCGAGGGGTTGGCGGGTTGCTTATTCTAGTTGTGGGAGATGACGAAACTGAGTATTCTCTAAGATGATGGACAAGATATATTTTAAAGTAGATGGTACTGATTACTGAGAACTCAGGCTGAACTACGTAGTGTAGTAGCATATTTACTAGGGCCGCTAGGTTCACGTGAGTCACATGCCTCCCGCTCCTGGTATATATCTCATTCTCACTACAGCGTATAGATATAAGGTATGCGACCGAGATACCAAAACACCAGCAATGCTTGGGCCCTGAAATATTTCCTATACCACAGAATAGCACCAATAGCTGCTAGATAGTAGTCGACGCTTTAAAGTAGAAACCTAATGTATTAATTACACTCAAAAAATAAATATAAACCATTTAACAGCATATTAAGATAGAGAATACTAAAATATATATCCTAGTTAACTCTGGTACAAGTAACTAAGAAATCAGTCTGCGGTAAATGGTATGTATAGAATACATACTATATATGCTTTAGCATATATATAAGCCATATACTCTATTATATTAGTATATATATGATTATCCTAGTGACTGGTCTCTAACATTAAGCTCTCTTGTATATCTTGAATTTGAATTACACTAGTTAATACTTGATATTTTATCCTGAATCGAAGACTTTATTAAATGAAAAATATGATATCCTATAGCTCCTTCTTTTATTATGTAGGTTGTTCATCCTTAGAAAACTGCAAATTTGGTTTAAATATACATGTATTCTTGGTTTAATGAAGAAGAGTAGATTTGGTTTAATTCTAAACCTAAGTGCGGCATTTTCTACCTGGTGGGGCGCCGTAAAGGAGGTTACGGGAACAACACGGATTTCCGAGCACTGATGCTGTTAAGCGTCAACGATGTATCCAGTAATCTCTAGCTGCTTTAAGACCATTTTTAAGTAAGACTAAGCTGTGGTGTTGAATCTCCAGAATTATTTCTATTCTTTTGCCTGTGCAGAAAGGGAGTGTAATAACTATAGAAAGTCAAGATTATGCATGCATTATTGAAAGAACCATACAGTTAATTTGCCTTTAAAGTGGCGAAATTTTGGCAGTGATCTCTGTGATTATGACGACTTGGCATCAACAGTCCCAACTCTGGGACGGTGTAGGGCCAACTCTAGCGCTGGAACTAGAACTTTTTGGTTTGGCCTCAGCCAATGTCGACAACATACAAAAATCCCGCATCTGGATCTTCTTTGTCGCTGGAAAATTTACCCTCGGTGCTTCATTGACAGGCATGGAAAAATGGAAAATCACATGCTAAAAGTAAGATTCTGTTTATAGATAATCATGAGATGCAAAATTGATATGCATAGGGTAATTAAGTCCTAAGTCGCATTTTTAATCAGCAGCTGTTATTCTAATTTAGGAAGTGTTTAAATAATATTTTCTTTTCGATTTCCTCTTCAGTACGAAGTATAGCATATCTGATAGTGTTTTCTTTCATTACTTAAAAATCATCGGTTTAGAGATTACTTTTAAGATTTCCAAAGCCGATCAGAGAGTATCCAAGTATATATAACCCAATAGCAAGTAATACATTATATATTTATGAATTTAACTATAAGATTATCACATAAAATATCATACGTCTTACTCTATTACCTTATTAAGCCCAGAGAGTTGTCGCAATTTATCAGTGTGAAAACTTACATTACGAATTTTGAGACATTATATAGAATTCATACACTCATCTATCTACTAAACATATCTATTTCTCAACATCTTGAGCAAGTTAAGTAGCTATTCTTGTGTATTTAAGATTTGTCAGTTTTGCGCCATTTATTCTAACTCAGTTCACGTGCTATCTATCAAATCAGGAACTAATTAAGTAATTATCGCGTAATAGACATAAGTTCTTACAGTCTTCCATACGCGCCGAGGGCATATATATATGTATATCCTTCATATCTTAAAAAGGCATTGCAGGTCTCAAAGATATATTCAATACCTTGAACTTCACATTTATCTGAGTATCAATAGAACAGTCTCAAAGCACGCTGGCACAATTTAAATCCTCCTACTCACTTTCAGCCATTCTAATCTCAGCTTGATATCACAGAATAGCGACAAACATGGAGGAAGAAGAAAAACAACTTGCTCCAGACTTGGAGGCCGCAAACATAGTATTTCCTTCGCATATTGTTTTTCAGGATGATGAAATTCGCCCCGATCGCCGAGACCGAGGCCCAAGCGACTATAGAAAGCGAGTTCGTTCTCACAGTCGCGACTCATCTGCAAGCCATGGAAGACCAGCATCTATTTCAGGGCTTCCAATTGAACATAGAACTCTGTCATTCCAGATTTCTGAAGCCCAAGCAGAACATAGACAAGAAAAGTCTCGGACACGTCCTGGCGATGTAGAGGATCGTGTGTTCTTCGAAAATCTTGATTACCACATGCTCCACCAGGACAAAATCTGCAGTCTTTTCAATGTGTCACTCGATCACGGACTCAGTTCAGAAGTTGCGGAGCAACGTCTCCAAAGGGATGGCAAAAATGTGCTTCCTGAATCGCACGAGAGTCAAATTTTGAAGGTCCTTGGGTACGTCTTTGGTGGATTTTGTTCCGTGCTCTGGATTGGAGTACTCGTCTTCTTCCTCTGTTGGAGACCATTAGGCGACCCAAATCCACAAGCATATAATCTTGGACTAGCGATTCTTGTCTTGATAGTGATCTTTCTTCAAGCCAGCTTTTCATCTTTCCAAGACTGGTCGACAAAGCGAACGATGCGATCGATTCTGGATCTCCTGCCCTCAGATGCGCTGGTATTGCGCAACAGTGCTTGGAAGAAAGTCCCTTCTACCGAACTCGTTGTCGGAGACATCGTAAAAATTCAGATCGGGAACAAAGTTCCGGCTGATATTCGCCTTCTTGAAACATCAGGGGATGTTCGATTTGATCGATCAATGCTGACCGGCGAAGGCGAAGAAGTCGAAGGTGCTGTGTTAGCAACGGACCAAAACTTCCTCGAAACTCGAAACATTGCGGCGATGGGCACTAGTGTGACAAACGGAATGGCAGTGGGAGTGGTTGTCCTTACAGCCGGGAACACAATTATGGGTCGCATCGCAAAAGCAACGACTGGGGTGAAAGCAAAGCCTACCTTGATCTCGAGAGAAATTACACGATTTGTCAAGATTATTGTGGGCTTGACAGTCTGTCTAGCGCTTTTGATCTTACTAACCTGGATTTTCTGGTTGCGCGTCAAACACAATAAGTTCATGAACGTTGTTGCAATGCTGAATGATGTCATGGGCTGCGTGGTCGCTTTTATCCCAGAAGGCATGCCAGTCGCAGTCGCATTGACTATGATGGTGATTGCAAACCGTATGAAAAAGGCTGATATCCTTCCTAAAGGTCTATCAACGGTGGAGACCCTTGGATGTGTCAGTGTGATTTGCTCCGACAAAACTGGTACTCTCACTCAAAACAATATGACCGTTACTTCGGTCAGTGTGCTGATTGGGTGGATCTAATTGGATAGATCCATTCGGATTTATCCAATAAGCCACAATCCAAATTGGGCGGTGGATTTGGATAATCCATCCGGATGATCCAATTATATAGTGGTGGCTTAATGCTTAGGCCAATTGTGAGCATATCTGCCACCTCTCATCACATATGCCAAACTTGCCTTATCACACCGCATTTCATCATGTCATCATTGTGCTATGCTCTTGCTCATAATAAGCCCGTCCTGAAGCCAAGTACCATCAATCATGAACAGTGGTATACCGCCATGGCAAGCAATCGAGCCTCAAGACGTCATCCTGAAAGACCTAAAAATGAGGTAGTGGTGGTTGAGTCACCACTACACTCACTATCAAGTCCCACCTCATCACTTGCAGACGCATCTATTGTTATATCAGATGTATCATCACCACCAACTCAATCAGAGGACATAAGCCTGAAAGCACACGCCGGTGATCTCGATACCTTTGTACCGAAGCGATTTGATTATACTAAGGTGGAGTTCACAAGATTGCCTGGTTTTACTAAGCAAATCGGAAGAGCAGTAAATCGGTTGAACTCACCTATATGGGATCGTGGTGTGCTTATCGAAGAAATCGAGACTAATAACCATTATTGGCTATGCTTAGAATGCTACCAAAAACAGGTGAAGCAGAAGCACCATTGGCCGATTAAGAATGGCACAAGCAACGTTACTAAATATATTCGAAATCGGCATAACGAGGAGTTCAGAAAGGAGGATGGTGGTTGGGTACAATTGCAGAATCGAGGTTCAACACCAGTATCAGATCTTGATATAGATCCGGTGCAAAAGCAGGCAGTTTTGAATCACTTAGCGACGTCATTTGACAATCATAACTTCAGAAACTTGGTGGTGAGGTGGATTGTCGATACCAATCTCGCGTTTAGGCAGGTGGATAATAAGGCTTTTCGAGACCTGATCAGGTATCTGAACAATCGAGCGTTGGTACCTCATCACACCACATTGATCAGCTGGATTAACAATGCGTACAAGCTTCACAAGATGAAGGTGGTGGAGCACTTACATCAGGCTACCAGTCGGATCCATATTGCCTTCGACCTTTGGTCATCGAATAACCATCGTTCAATGAACGGCATTATTGCGCATTATCTGGATGCGTCATATAAGCCTCAAGCAATCCTTCTTGCTGTGCCTGAACAAACTGAGTCACATTCTGGTGTAGATGTGGCTGCAAAGGTGATTAAAGTCATTGAAGACTTCGAAATTCAAGGAGATCATCTTGGCTGGTTTATGGTTGACAACGCAAGTAATAACGACACTGCAGTCGAGTCAATAGCTTCTTACTTTGGCTTAGATGCTGTTGAACGGCGCCTTCGATGTGCAGGTCATATCCTGAATCTAATTGCAAGAAGTCTCTTATATGGCTTTGATAAGAGACTTTTTGCGCAGGATTCTGAGATGATGGATCTTCAGGATCAGTTAACTTACTGGCGCCGAGCAGGACCTATTGGAAAAGCTCATAATCTTATTGCCTGGACTTATGCAAGTCCTCAGAGAGTTTGGCGATGGCATCAGAGTAAGTTTTATTTATAATATATGATATCAGGATAATCATGGTGTTGCACTACAATCCAGATATGATTATAGCCTGATTTGCCTGAGGCACTATAAATATTATTATCCTACTACAACAAAATCTGATATCAAGTATGCAGGTCAAATTGATTATCTATCACATATCCTGAAAACCACCAATCTACAATCTTTTAAACCTCGAGAGCTTTATCGAAGCAATGACACACGATGGAACTCAGTTTATAATGAACTCAAAATGTTAATTGAGCATCGTGCGCAGTTTGAACACTTTATTGACTCAGAACGGCAAAGAAACGATCCGGGTGGCTTCACCACCATTGCAGATGATATCTTAGATGCGGATGACTGGGCTATCTTAGCTCAATATATGAAGCTACTTAAGCCATGCTGGGCTGCAATAATGGATCTTCAAGGCTACATTCAAGATGGCAAGTCCTCAAGTCTTGTGAACGTACTTAATGACATCGAGTTGATAGTGATCGAGCTATCTAATATATATATTTAGTATAAAGATGCTCCGAAAACCTCACTCGAAGGCGAATGGCACTTTGCTACACAAATCCGGCTTGCCTTAGATAAGGCTGAGGCATATTATGCAAAGCTTGATGACACCACTGTGTATCTTGCAGCACTGGTATTACATCCATCATATAACTGGCGCTTTGTGGAGCGACGATGGCACAAGCAAGTGAAGTGGCTGAAGGCAGGTAAGGCTAAATTAAAGGCCCTCTGGCAAGGTACATATAAGCACGTTGAGACATCAGTCGAATCACCTCAAAAACCAAGGCCATATGAGCCAAATATGATGGAGGCATATAGGCTGAAAACCCTCGCTGAGATTAAGGCACAAGCCTCAAAAGCACCAATTGGCCTTGATGAGTTCGAGCGGTACCTTATGCAGCCATTGGTTACCACTGATAAGCCGATTGAGTGGTGGTCCACCACTGGATGCATCGAATATCCATATCTGACCAAAATGGCATTGGATATGCTGTCAATACCTGCGATGAGCGATGAGCCTGAACGCTTATTCAGCCGATTAGGTCATATGGTGACCAAGCACCGCAACCACCTGAAGCCTCAAACGATCCAAGCGACTCAATGCTTGCAATCATGGGCTAAGGCTAAGATTATAGATTTAAAGTAATAGCAATCCGAGCACTTCACCATCATAAATATTTTCTATTTTAAGTCATATGTGGCATAATCAACAGCCTCAGTAACGACATAAAGGGCCTCAGGTGGATCAATCCGGATAATCCTAGTGGATTATCCAGATCCGCCAAGAGACCCACTTGGGAGTCGGATCGCTGATCCGATCCATCCAATCAGCACACTGACTTCGGTCGGTTTTGTTGATACTCTCTTGACTGCAGATGAGGCTGAGCAGTCTTACTGGTCGGAAAGCACACAAAAAGCTCTAACAGAACTGCATAGAGCTGCAATATTGTGCAACGACGCAGTATTTGACCCTGCTACCATCCATGCCCCTGTCCGTGATAGGGCTGTCTTGGGGAATAGCACGGACGCGGCTGTTCTTCGATTTGCAGAACAAATCAAGCAGGGGAAACACGTTTCTACGGAATATCCGCGAGTCTTCCAAATTCCATTCAATTCAAAGAACAAGTGGATGCTCACAATGCATGCGCAGGGAGGCAAACCTGACGACAAATGCGTAAATTACTTGATCTTGATAAAAGGCGCACCAGACGTCCTTTTGCCAAACTGCACACAATATTGGTCTTACAAAGACAATATGATCAAAGAAATCGATGCAGAAGCTCGCGATCGATTCACGAGGTTGCAAAATACGCTGTCAAAAAATGCGGAGCGTGTAATTCTTTTCTGCCAGCGTGCCTATGATACAACATCCACTTTACAATCGAATTCTCTTGGGGACGAACTCATGGAACGCTGTTTCCAAAATTTAACCATCATTGGAGTTCTTGGCGTATTAGACCCACCTAGACCTGAAGCCAGAGCAACTGTTCTTGCGTGTCGTAAGGCCGGCGTCCGCTTTTTCATGGTCACCGGTGACTACGGACTTACTGGTGCCGCTATTGCGCGTAGAATCGGCATCTTCACAGGAGATAGAAATCCTGATTCACTGAAAACAATTAAAGATATGCGGAAAAATGCTAATGGAAATAAACAACATTCAATGCACAGCACCACGAGCCTACTTCTGGAAGGACATGAGCTTTGGGATATTCCTGATGATGCTTGGGACATTATATGCGGTTATGAAGAGATAGTTTTCGGCCGCACAACCCCAGAGCAAAAGCTAAGAATTGTCAATGAGTTTCAAAAGCGAAAGTACGCTGTGGCCGTCACTGGTGATGGCGTTAATGACGCTCCAGCTCTCCGCGCAGCCGACATAGGCATCGCAATATCAGGTGGCAGTGATGTAGCCATGGAAGCCGCAGATCTGGTTTTACTTGGCGGTCTCGAGTCTATTGTTGAAGCAATCCGTTTGGGAAGACTCGTGTTCCAGAACCTTCAAAAGGTCATTAGCTACTTGCTACCAGCCGGTAGCTGGTCAGAGATTTGGCCTGTACTGGTGAATGTCTTTCTTGGAGTGCCTTTACCACTTAGTTCGTTCCTTATGATTATCATTTGCGTTTTTACGGACCTGTTTCTCAGTTTGAGTCTTATTATGGAAAAGGAAGAATTCGACCTGCTCACATTACCTCCACGCAACCATCGGAAAGACCACTTGATCAACATGAAGATCTATGCACAGTCATATCTCTTCATTGGTGTTATGGAAACTGTCATTGCACATAGTATGTTTTTCTACTACATGAAAAAGCATGCTGGCATTCCGTTCCATGCACTTGTCTTCCTCTTCGAAGGTTATACGGAAGGATTCTACGGATACACACAGGATCAACTTACCTTTTTCAATACTCAAGGCCAGTGCGTATACTTCGTCACTCTCGTTATTCTGCAAATTGGAAACATTCTGTCAATCCGCAACAAAAGGATGTCAATCCTTCAGGCCGACCCTATACGGAAGCAGAGGCGCAATCCATGGCTTATCTTATCTGTCATGATCGCTTTGGCTATCGCAATATTTGTCACCGAAGTGAAAGGCATTCAAGACTTATTTGGGACAACATCCGTTCCAATTGAGTTTTGGCTTCTTCCTCTACCGCTTGCACTTGGCATCTTGATGATGGACGAAATTCGCAAACTGATAGTTCGGATTTCCCCAAAAGGTCTACTAGCGAGAATAGCTTGGTAAGAAAAAAGATATCGTATAATTAGTAGGAAAAAAATGCAGTCGAATTCAGAGACAAGAGATTTATGTTGTCGGGTTGGCCTGAAACATGATGATTCTGTTGGATTCAGTATATTATAGATTTTAGCTGAAAAATGTCTAGTTCTCTGCACTATTGAAGAACTGAGGATAAGCACTAAAACTGGCAGATTATAAGCAAGATTAATGAGCTTGAATCATTTTCTATTATATAAAGTAAAAATAATTAAAGAACCGAATTTGTTTAAGATATATAGTAATAATATGACTTTTATAATGATTATTCAACTGGGTTAGCTTCCTTAGATTATTTCTTGAAAGATGGAATTCGGGAAATACTTACCCCGCACCGGTTGGCAATGTGTATAGAAATTCCTTGATGTAATTCAAAACTCATCAATGCGAAGAGAGGTGTGTTGGGCGATGTGCCTGATATTGAATATAGTATCGGCAATGGTTCACGGCAAATGAAATTGCCCCACTTGAAGACGATCTGCTGAGGCTTACAGTTTAACCCCCTTCAACTTATGCCTACCCCAGAAGTCCGTTCAAAAGCCGTTGTTCAACTGCCGAGAGATCATAACGCATCGCCAAATTGGGACAAGCTGCGCCAGGCTGAAGCGGGAATATTCCACTATGGCGATATATTAAGGCTTTATCATATATAAATGATGAGATAAAACCAATGCATGAAATTCATGAGATTTTAGTCTGTCTTCTTCCAAATTCTCTGTTGCTACATAAGTGCAGGATAAAAAAATCAATATGCTCTTTTATGTCGTTAATTATGTCCTTCAATCGTGGACTTGGCTACTTCCAACCATAATAATTGCATACTTTATCAGCAACAAGTACCGTTACGGCATCAGTTGTTATCCAGGACCATGGCTAGCAGCATATACTGATTGGTGGCGTTTCTTTGATGCTGCTAACCGAAAAACTGAGAAGACATTCCTAGAGTTGCACGAGAAGTATGGGGATATTGTCAGGATTGGACCAAATGCACTGAGCTTCGCCGATCCAAGGTCGATAAAATGCATCTATGGCTTAAATAAAGGTCTCGTTAAGGTATAGTTTTCAATGAATAACTACTTTTAGAGCAGTCACTAACTATTTTTGACAGTCGGAATTCTACCCTGTGCAACAAGGCGTTTCTAAAGGGCGACGTTTGCCCTCTCTTTTTTCCACAGTGGACGAGGCATATCATGCTCAATATCGTCGATGTGTGAACAATGCATTCAGCATGAGTTCCTTGGTTTCATATGAGCCACTGGTGGACAGTACCTTGGTTCTCTTTTTGGACCAAACGGAAAGAAATTTCCAGAAGACTGCCAAAGAATGTGACTTGGCCCGTTGGTTTCAATTTTTTGCATTTGACGTCATTGGAGAATTAACATGGAGCAAGAGATTAGGATTCCTTGAGAAGAATCAGGACATTGATGGTATTATCGCTTTTATCTCCAAGTTCTTGGATTATGCTGGTCCAGTAGGTTTAAATCACTTCAAATCTTTACTACGTACACTTACCACCAATTTTACAGGTTGGACAGATGCCATTTTTGGACTATTTATTCGGAAAGAATATTGTTCATATGCAACTACAGCGCTGGGGGATTTCCAAAGCTGTTTTTCCTGCGACCAAATTTGCCCTTTCGCGCCAAGCAGAGCGGGACAAGCTTATCGAAGCAGGAATGCTGGGCAATTTCCATGCAGACCTACTATCCAAGTTCATGCAAGCACAGAAAGACCATCCGGACATAATGACCGATGATTTGGTGCTGACAACATGCTTAAGCATGATTCTGGCTGGCAGCGAGACAACTGCAATCAGCCTGAGTGCTATTTTTTACTACCTCCTAAAAAATCCATCCGCGTATAAAAAGTTGATGCATGAGATTGATGAAGCAGTGAAAAGTGGACTAATTGATAGAGAATCGCACGTCGTCTCTTGGAAAGCCAGTCAAAAATTGGTGTACCTTGATGCTGTTATTCAGGAGGCTTTCCGCGTGCACCCAGCTGCTGGTCTCATGCTTGAGCGCGTAACTCCGAAACAAGGTTTGGACGTGGTTAACCAGCGAATTCCAGGTGGAATTATTGTGGGCTGTAATGCATGGGTTTTACATAGGCGCCCTGAAATATTTGGTGAAGATGTACACATGTACAGACCAGAGAGATGGATTAATGCCTCACCAGAGAAATTAAAAGAAATGAAAGCCACAATGTTCCAATTTGGTGCTGGGAGCAGGACATGTATTGGCAAAAACATAAGTTTGCTGGAAATTTATAAGCTCGTACCAAGCTTGCTAAGGAGATTTGATGTAAGTAAACCACTAAAAGTTATTTTTCACTTTTAACATATACTTATGCACCGCAGATTGAACTTGCGGAACCGGATCAGGAATGGAGTACATTTAATGCATGGTTTGTAAGGCAGTTAAATTTTAACGTGTTATTTCGGAAAAGGAATCTAGCTATATAATATAGCTTGAGTTGTAGAAATTTGAATTTAGTGAAAAGTTTTTTAGATACCTATTTTTTATTTTGTCCTTATGGTACTGTAAAGGTTTGTTACGAGGTAACACGTGAACAGTCATAGGGTATCGCTGATTAGCGGGAGCGATCATTCTGCTCAATAATAAGCGGAATAAGTATATCAACCAATAGTTGACAGCCAGGGCATCGCTGATTGGCGGGAGCAATTATTCTACTTAATAATAATTAAAGTAATTATAGTAAATAAGGCAATAAAGATATTAAAAATAAGGTCTATATAAATATCCTATCTTTACTAGTATTACACTTCTTTATAATTCAACTATCTAGTTTATCTAGTAATTAGTTTAAATATTTTCTCATACTCTTGAAGCTCAGACTATTCTAAGTTATAAATATAACTATTGTACTGGGGAAAATGGTTTATACTCTGAAGGATATCATGTGACACAGGAGCAAGGGTCTTAGATATCATATGATATGGCTGTCATGGGGTCACCCCTATGACACGTGATTGGCACCATCCTGTTGCCTATCTGATTAAAGCAGCACCGACATCAGCTAACATGACCTAACATGACCCAACGTTACCTAACGTTGGCCAACTGGACTCCTAAACTAAACTGACTTCCTAATTCGATTTCACCGCGCGCGCGCCCAAATCCCAATTAGGAAAGGTATGATAAGGCCCCCTTTATATTCTTAGTAAGAACTACTTTCGGGCCTTCCCTTCTTCATGCAATATCTTGATTATTATATAATACTTTAGTATAGCATAACTAAATAGATAGTTGATAGCCTCATCAGTTTACCTTATATAATAACTTAAGTAGATTACTTCTAGTGGTTCTGTGATACTACGTTGCATCAACCATCCTTACCAGCCATAATAATGGAACTGGAGATGATTATCCGCACTATGTAGGAACAGATGACTGCATAAATTCACGCCCTGCAAGAAGCTCTTGCGTAATAGAATCAGGCGGTACTCACTCTGAGCGAAGAGATAGCCACCCTTAAGTCAGCTCCCGGCTCCCCCCCCAAAATCGCTCTCACTACTCCTAATACTAATAACTAATAATAAATAGATACACCTACTGAGTCTATGAATGGCTCCGGGCTTGCTCTGCAGAAGGAACCCCTGGTTACTTAAATATAATTATTAGAGAGATTTCCAGACATCACTGAGTTTACAGGCAGACGCAGTCAGCTAGTAGAATAGAAGGCCGCTCTGATAAATAAACTCTTAGGTAACTCTAACCACTACCCCAGCAAATTAGCTAAGCTAACCTATACGCGATCTCGCATTTTAGGGGAACCAGCAGTTACACTGGGCCGCCTTAGCCATAATTTCCCAACCCTATAATTACTGATCGCCTGGCTTAACTGATAATATAGGGACCTAAATAAGTAAGTTAATACTGAACTAAAGCTTCGTGATCTCCGTCAAGGGAGCCGCCCCTTTTGGAAATTTTTCACCGAATTCAGGACTTTGGCAAGTAAAGCAGGAGCCGCCGAAGGAGCTCAGTATATGCTCCTAAAGGGCGCTATCAGCCCCGAATTACAGCGCCTAATAATTACTCAACCTAAACCAGAGTATCTAACAGATTATATAAACCTGGTAGCTAAGATTAATGAGCAGCTGCGTTTCATTAATAATAATTCTTACTCAGCCCCTAAATAACCAACTCAGCCCTGCTAACCCCCTGACGCAATAAATATAGATATCTTAGGCTATGCCCCAGCAGGCTTGGCCGAACGAGAGCGCCGCCGTAGAGAAGGGCTATGCTATAAGTATAGTTCTAACAAACATATCTCACCTAGCTGTAAGATACCTATCCCAAGCCGCCCTGAAAGTCCTAAACACTCTAAGAGTATTAATGCTGTCTCCTCACATACCTGTTCCCCCACCTATTATAACAACCCCCGCCATGCCCACAACTTCCGATCCAGCTCTGTCTCATCCAGAGGGTCCGACCGATCAAAAGGACGGTCCCAGAATTAAGTCGCGTTTTGGGACCACGCCCTATATCGCTGTTTGTTAACCTCACTGAACTAAGCCTCTCAAATAACTGGAAATACTGAATCACTATCTCAGCCAGACTAGGGCAGGGCGCCACACTAGTGTCACGGAACCACTAGAAGTGATCTGCTCAAGTTATCACGTGAGGTAAACTGATGAGGCTATCAACTATCTATTCAGTTGTGCTGTACTAAAGTATCGTACAATAATCAAGACGTTGCATGAAGAAGGGAAGGCCCGAAAGTAGTTCTTGCTGAGAATATAAAGGGGG